AGTTATACAACCCATATCTGCATACTTTGAAATTGTCGCAGCAATTGATGTATTTCTACTTGATATTTTTTCCTAAAATTCTATTTGGGAGCCATTAACATCTATAAGATTGCCACTATAAAGTTTCGTGAGCACTGGTGCTCTGTAACTAGTTGTATGTATGTTTTGTTGGCCGATGGGACAGAATAGGGGCTACCAATTCCGGTTACTTAATTTGGCAGCGTGTATGCGCTTGAGTTGGGGAAGAGCTGACAGAGACTGTGATGGAGATTCGCGTAGCGCAGGCCCCTCGTACACTCCAAGATGTTCTAGTTGAGATACCGCGACTTCGAATGCTTCTGAAGTCTCGCGTATCTACTGCTCTGGCCCCGACATGTCTACACTCAAGAACTTAAGCGCAGGACAATGTTTTGGCATCAACGTCACGAAACTAGCAGCATCAGCCAATGCTGAGAAAAAGTGTATGCTGCGCAGCGTCGGCACTAGAAACGCCTTGAGAATATTCCAAGGCGTGGAATCCATCTGCTCGGGAGGGAGGTAGAGGTGCGTCAAGCGAGGAAAGGCATGCTCGACGTCCGAACGATGAGGGAAGAGAAGTCCCATTACGGACAGGTTGATTCTCCAGCAATCTACGAGGATGAGCTTTCTCACCCGAGAAGTGTACTGATGAAAAGAAGTCCACTCCAGGTCAGATAAGGAGGTGGGATCAAAGCCTGTCTGTTACGGGGATGTTATAGAAGAGACGACTCGGAGACTGGAAGCGCAACAGCGGGGAACTGACTTACAAACCGAAAGTGTTTTCGATAGCACTGTCCAGACTCGGTAGTGAGGGACCGAGAAGTAAGGGCGTAGAACAAAGCATAAGGAGGAATCGAAGACTATAGCACATCCAATGCTTCGTCTTTGAAAGCCTTGCACGTCCTCGCCAGTACCATTGCTGTTTTCATGCCTTGCTGCTCTTCGTCATCTTCACCGTCTTGCAACTGTTGAAAGATTTCGCGTAGGATATCCGAAAGGGTTAAAGCTGGATGCATCGAATATACCCCGGGTGCATCAACCACAAGATAGATTGTGTTTACCAGCTGCGAACTGGATGACTGACTGGTGATAAACTTCTCTCGAGTCGCGCGAACCCGTCGCAAGAGACCGGATTTACCCGACTCGGGTGACAAACAGGCAACAACGAACAGCCAAAAGGAGATAATCCCTCTCTTCGGCCCAATATTGAGCCCAATTTCAGTGGCAACCATTGCCTCGCCTCTTGCTACTATGCTGGAACCCGCAATGAAAACCGTCACCCGCAATGAAATGTAGGTTGATTCGACTGCCCCTCCCCCGTCCCTTGGCGTATACCTACAAATAAACATGGGCCATCTAATGTAACTACTCTATGACTGTATCGCACGGCTTGGTGGAGAAATCAAAACTACAGACGCTATGTACAAAACAATCGAGGATTCAGTCTTTCTTTTCATAAAACTGCTCAGGGTAGGTACATTCCTGTATTCCGTTTGCTACCAAACTTGATTGGCTTCATATTCCATGCCATAGTTGACGCATATCGAAGTTTTGAGAGAAACAAGGATGTTCTGCGCGAGTGGTGTTCGTCGCAAACTCGAAGAAAGGAAACAAAGGTTAACCATGACTATCGCTCGGCATCGTCGTGGCAAAGTTGTATGGACAAATTACAGCTTAAGGCTTCATATGTGGTTTCAGAAAGCCTCATACTATGTCTCACAAACAAAAGCGAGGCTTGTTGAAGGCCCGAAGCGAGAGGGAGGAACAAATATCTGATTTCATTTCATTGCGGGTGACGGATTTCATTGCGGGTTCCGGCATAGTATCTCGTGAAAAAAAGACTCGTCGTCAGTAATGTGTGCTGGCTACTTCTGTCGTTTGATTGTAAGTAGGGTAGCTCATGACGCAATCTATGCATTACCAGGTACGAACCGACGATCGGATGTTTGAGTCACTCCGGGTTCGTTGACTGCGACAACTTTCAGTTAGAACGATAAAACGTGCCTAGAATATATAAAATTCGTATATCCTGTCCGAAGATTTCCTGGTAATAAAAACGCGTAAGCACGTAGAATCTGCTCCATCCTCCTGCATTCCTACATGGAGATGATATGGGGAAGGGCAGTTTCAATAGACTTGGCGGCGCACACTAGTGTACATCAGAAACTCCACAGTTAAACCAGCCCAAATAGAACCGGTTATCTTCTATCTCTCCGTCTCGCTGCAGACTGAGATAACCATGTCTGTTCTACGGGAACCACGGACCACTTGATTTGATGCGTCTTCCTACCATCTACCACAGAAAAAGCTCAATAAACAACTGTGCTGTTTGACCGCGGAGTAACTTTGGCTTCATAACCCAAGTTCGACTCTTTATGCAGGAAGAAGTACGTCTGGTCACGTAGTGCTAGCCGGCACAAGATCTCTGTATCCGGACTGCTTCAGTGGCGACGTATAAATTGTCTATTTCTGTTCGTTCCGACTCAGCCGATAGTACTTGCCGTTCCCAGGAGATTACCACCAACGAGTACTTGGTACAAGTCCTCACTCAACCTTAAGGTCGGGCTCCACTAAACAAGCGTCCTCGGATATACCATACTTTGTAACTAGTGTTGTTGTTAACTTGGCTATCATAAACGTTTTTTCGGCTCTCGTGGCCGCTGTCTATTACTCCACACTACTATATACTCCAATGGAAAGAAACAACAACATACTCGGCTTCTGATATCGACCTTGATCTATTCGGAGGAGTAGCCAATCAACTTCATACATCTCAATTACTTATCATCTTTGCGTCACTCTCGTCGGACCGAGCCGCGAACCACGAGCGCTCCGCACTCGGAACGGAATGCCGAACTTCACACCTGTGACTGTACACACGAAAACCAACGATCTCCTACTATCACCCACTATGCGTGCCCACGGATCCGCACTGTACGGAAGAATCAAGGAACAGGGACACCAAAAAGATATGATTGAAAGTGCGAGAGATAAGGTACATGGATAAACGTGCTCTTGAGACGCATAACTTACATACTTATGAGCTCGGGCCAATACGAGCATGTTCCGTCGTTTGCTCGACCCTATGTGCACGGCTCCACTCTTCGCTACTGACCTTGGGAGAACGCCGACGTAGGGATGATGTCAGCCGCACGCGGATCCAGGGTCTCAGGGATGCTTACGACTATCCGCCAGCGGCAGCACGCGTCCGCGGACCTACGTACAGATACCGTACGAACGAACACTATCATCGCATGAGTTTGGGCATTGGGGCGGCGATGACAGTGAAGCACATACCATTCGCCGCTCTGAGTCATCTGCTAACGTAGAGCAAGCTGGATCCGTCAATGTCAAACACAGGTGAAATAGGCGTTAATCATTGCGACGCATCCCTGCCCTGGTCTGTCCTATGTACTTACCTTATCATGATGTAGCGCAGTAAGCGAGCCTCGAGGCAGCCCGCTTAGCTCTGCCGAACCTCACCTCGGTGGGGCTCGATACGCGGACGATCAGCCGCTGGCAGGCTGGCGTATCGATCAGGAGCGTGGTGCGGCTGTGGAGAAAGGCAAAAAGCGTAATTGAGCGACGTGGTCGTGGAGTACGTAAACGAAACGCGGGGATGAGGGGCGGGGCAGGGCGGAGACCTCGGATCGGAGGGCACGGAGAGATGGGAGAGCGGGGACATGTCGCGTGCCTTGGATCGGCTAAAGCGGTGGGCTTGTTTCCGTCGGCGAGTGTTGATGTGTGGCATAGGATGGGTTGAGGCTGGATGCAGGATAGAACATCGGAGGTGCAAATGCTTCGTGAAACATTCGGGGGTGGTCGATGATGTGATGTAATATGTAGTTCGCCATGATCAGCGCTATTGATGGAATACGAAAGCATGCAGTTACACTGTAGTGACCATCTGTAAAGGAAAGAAGTTGACGCCAAGGTAAAGAGACCCTGGAGGAGGAAATTCAGAGACAATCAGGTACTTGCGGCTCCGCAGAAGAGGATCCTTATATATTTGCCCGATCGAGCAACTGGGTGTCTCCGGAACTTACACAGTGAGATCCGTCATCGCGTGCCAGAGACCCGTGACGCACAATCGTCGAGCATTTCCTTGCTACATCCGCCTTCTTCTCCATCTTCGAGTCAGCTGTCTCTGGATGACGTCGAGCCAATACGGGGGGATACGGGGATGCAGCAGGAAATGAAGTGGTCCATTCGAGACCTTGCCAGATTACGAAACGCTCTTTGACCGCATCAGTTTCAGCCTGAGGCCCTGAGTATAGTGTTTCCATCTATACCCCAGCAGAACCTGTACGATCCAATCACCAAAGTTGAGTTTATCGTAGACGCTCGAGTTTCGTCACGGGGACGGAGTTGGGGGAAGAACGAGGGGTGTGCGAGGCCGGGGACCATGATCGAGACCGAGAATACTGCGAAGAGAAGATCTCTGAGTGCAAAGTACACTTTTAGACACGAGGCAGAAAGTTTGAGGATGGTCAAGAGCATCGTTCGGGTGCATGCGACGGCGGCGTGCGGGAAACGGCAGTTGTAGATGAGACGGATACAAAGTGGGCGGGCAAAGTGCGTACTGAGAGCGAAGAGTGACCGAGTCCGCTGGGGCGTGGACGATGTTAGGGAGGTTGGTGCTATCCTAGGCTATCCTAAACTGGCGGTCGTGTGAGCACAAGGCACGCAAGATCAAAACATCGAGGGCTGCAAGAGGGCAATCTCTTCCATGTTTCCGTAGTGAAAGTTCAGGAGACCGCAGCAGAAAAGACAATAGAGAATCTAGTTGGACAGTTGTGAGCGAAAACATGGGGTGTATGCGCAGGAACGGAAGCAAATGGGCAGCCACCGACGGAAGCAAAAGCCATCTGCGGCTAATTGGGCTTACATCAGCTGGTGGGGAGCGGACTTCTAAAAGCGGATGGCCTGCCTTGAGGCTTTTACGTTGACCATTTTGGTGTTCTCTGCTGCCTCGTGTGGTCGGCTGGCTGAAAATTACCCTCTGAAGGCACATCCACTTCCCCCGCCTTATCAATCACATCCACCAGCCCTCTCTTCCTCCTCCAGCCCCCCTTGCTGCTGGGTCACTTCTCTCTGCCTTCCCAATCCAAAAAAACGCCAACCAGACACTGGATTCCAGCTTGACTCAGCCGGATCCGGTCCCTCTGGCGACTCACAGAGACCATATATACTTCTTCCGCTGGGCTGCCTCACCTCTTTCTCCCCCTTTCAACGCTGCTCCATCTCCCCTGCGCCCTGCACCCATCTCCGTCTCTGCCACCATCAGCTCATCCCGGACTCCCCCGCTGAGCCAACAAGCTGACTATCAGGTCCCTGCTCCCACACGCAGAACCAGACGAAGAAAATCTCTCCCCGAGGATGACGGAATACGATTACTCGCCAGAGGCATACGAGCGCCATATGCGCACCCAGAACCGCGTCGGTAACTGGGTCTCCGACACAACCAAGGCCTCTAGTGAATACAGCAATCCCTTCATCCTCTCTCCCAATCACGCCGCCCGTGCCCTCGATGCCTGGATAGAGAAACCACAGACTCAACCCCAGGGCCAGCAGTTCTACGCCCCACCCCGGGGACACCCACAGCAGCCCTACATCCAGACCCAGCCCCAGCCGGGCCCATCGCGCCAGTCCATTCTCCATCGCAGCACATCCTCGTCCAAACCCCGCAGCCCGACGACGTACACCCCTACCGGACGGAACCCAACAACGTCCGCACCCAACCATCCCACGTCCCGCAGCCCGACAAACTCCAAGCCGGAGAAACCCCGCGGTCGCGACCGCGATCGCAGCCTTGGCAGCTCCGCCACTATCGTCGCATCAAACTCAGGCTCCGGCTCAGGTTCAGGTGCGGGTGCGGGCTCGTACCCACGACTGAACCCCAAGCGTTCCAAGACGCTCCCGCCCAACACCGCGGACGGTGCCCGTGGGTCGCGGCAGACGCGCTCCCGTTCGCACTCGCACTCGCAGCAGCGCGAGCCGATTCAGCCCGCGTCGCACCAGCCACAGGTGTATGCGCAGCCGCACATGCAGCAGTCGCAGGCGCATATTCACCATCCCCACCATGTGCACACGCAATCGCAGCCCCAGCCGGTCCAGCACCAGACTATCCGGCGCTCGCAATCCCGCTCGCGGTCGCAGTCGCAGGGCCAGGGCTGGCAGTTCGTTGACAAGCCCTCGACCCGCTCACGGGACACGTCCAAGACCCGCTCTCCCTTATCCAGATCATCTTCGCAGCAACGGCGGACATCGCAGCAGCAGGGCGGCGTCAGCCCCTCACAGACGATGAAGACGAGCCCACGCTCGCATGACCGGTCACCACCGACCACATCCCCTGTGTCGATCCCAGCGTCATCGCCGAGAGGAGGCCCACCTGCGAGAGGCAACTCGACGCCAGCAGGATATGCGCAGTCTTCCTACGATGGGAACTCGAGCACGATATATCTCCCTCCTGGCCCACCCGGCCAGACGTACTTTGTCGTCCCCCCGCCCGGCGGGCGGGTTGTCGCTGGGGTGCGTCGTTTGCATCTGATGAGTCATTATTCTGCGTTTGCTGACTAAATTCGCTCGGAATTGTGTTTTTGTGATTACAAAAATAGGACCCTGCCGACAAAGTTTACCCATCGCGCGCGGTCCCGACCTCGCCGACGAAGCAGTCGCTCCTGAAGCGTCTCCTTGGGTTCCTCATCTCCTCTGGCTCGTCGCATAAAGGCAGCGAGAAGAGCGGCAGGGGCAAGTCACGGCGGTCGAACCGTCGGTCAACATATTAGATTATCTGTTTCTCTCGATCTTGCTTTCGATCTCCTTCGATCTTGAATCTGTTCCATATCCTTCGATCGGCGGTTTCAATCTGGGCGCATACTAGACTATGGTGCGACAATCCATCGCATGCATCGTGACCCACAAACACGTTTTGCCACCACCGTTTCACAACACGCCCCCTTGCGGTCACCCCACTTCACGCTCCCGCCTCTCCCCTGCATGCAGCGCCGGCCGCCACCCATTACCTCTTGACTTATCACCTCTGTGGATACACCCTCACCTTCGACTCATTTTCGACTCATCTTCATCCTCATCTTTGCCTGTCATCTTCGTTTGTGTTCGCTCTCCGTGTTCATCCCCAGTCTCATTTTCACTTGTCCCTTGTTTTGCCGCAGCACTTGAAGCTCCGATGCACAATACCACACCACTACCACCACGTCCCCCCATCCCATTCCACCATTGCTCTCCGTCACCATTACCGTCACCACCTATTCACCCCATAGACTTGGCTAATCTCCCCAACACGTTCGCATCACTCACGTCACATGAACTCTCCGAACTTTCGAACCCTCGAACTATGTGACTATATGTTTATGGCTAACCTTATGCACACTATATGCGCTTGCTTATGCTTTTATGGACTGCGTACGTTATGCACCCATTTATCCCTTTCCTTAACCGTTTCCCTCTGCTTCTTACTTCCTCCGTTTCGATTCCCTTTACGTCCCCATCCTCGTCTTATCCTGCTTTCATCTGTCTCTCTTCTTCTACATTGTAGAGCACCACCACCCTCGCCTCACGGCAAAAATTACTCGCGCCGCGGCAGAGCCTCGGCTCACTGCTTCGCACCGATCTCGATACCCCCGATCGCAGGCAGACGCGTACGGTCTGTACATACTATCCCCTCCCCTTGCAGAGTCTCACCTATCCTCTGCACTTAATCTTAAGTACTACTTTATAGAACGGGCCCGCGTGCGCAGGTGGTCGCACGCAGATACTACTAGTACCGGGCCTTCTTGGATGATCTTGTGGATACTTTTTATGAACAGTTTAACAGTTTTTTGTGTTAATGTCATTTGATGTTTTGTCGTCTGCTTTGTTTGGTGGTCAGTTTCCCGTTGGTCCAAAACGCCGAGCGGTCCGTCCTCGGCGCGAGCTTCTCGTTTCAGGAACGGGTACTGAGTAAATGCGGGGAAGCCCTCAGCGGGCGTCTATCTTATTACGCCTACCGGTACTCACTGGGGATTCTCGATGTTATCGTCATCGCCGCTGTAAGTGAGATAACAAGCGTCTGATGCAGATGCCTCTGATGACCGGGACCTCTGTTCTGGGCTGGGTTTCTCGCTAGCGTTTTCCGTTTCTCCCCGTGCAGACGCAGACGCTCGCGATGCTCGGAATGGATATATGCGTTCCGTATTTTTGTACTCGAGTCGCTGTTGTCCCCACGCTCGCGTTCGAGCGCCCCAGTAGCGGGTTTTGTGAACGTTTCGACGAGGCTGAACGTATTGAATTGGCTGAAGATGTTGCTGTTTCAAATACCAAAGACAGGGTAGAGAAGCACTTCTTGGACAAAGTCCACGTACACGTTGTCCGCCTCGACCGAGCTCGTACAACTGGCAATCCTCCAAAAGAGCGTGGCTCGTGGTTCAGTACGAGGTTCGTGACATGCGTGGTGTGGCCACCAGTCGCTGGGTGTATGCGATGCTGGCCTACAAACACGAGATTTAACACTCCGCGGCAGCTACTAGGTATGCCACGCACGCAACACGCGTCGTGGCTCTTTTGACATTTCCACGCATTTTGCACCCACACCGCCACACCAGCCTCACGCGTCATATTCAGTCGACAACCGGTCCAATCTCCACGTTCATTTTTCTTTGGAGCTTTTCTTCCACCGATGTTGTTCCTTGGCCGTTTGGACACGGCTTTCGCACACGACGTACGTGCCGTTCGATACCGGTGTCTTTGTCGCAGGGCATAGTGAACGCTTGTAGGGCGGGCCGCAGGGACATCGTTGACCACGACGACGAAGCACCTGACAGCGAAGACAAAGACACACTCGAAGGAGCTCGAAGGCCTATCTATGGCTGAATGGAAGACTCAGAAGCTGTAAACTGCCTGATCACTGATCACGATCAGGGGGTTGAACTTGGCTCACTGCGTCGGTGGCGTAAACCTACGGTTCATTTGCCGTACATTAAAGTTAGTCTGTCCAAGGTGGGTCGCCCCTGTGACCGTCTCCCCGCTCGCGTCGACCGCGTGCTCGGCATCGAGCTCCACCTTCAAGATAGCACGTCGAGCTCTATCAGCGTTCTCCACACCGCTGGTACCTGTGTGACTTGTCGGTGACTGGCTACGCGTAGCCTATCGTCCTGCTTTCGCATTGCGGCGGCCAACGTCTGCGTTCTCCGGGGACGTTGTACTCGCGCCGCTATGCAGTATGCTATCCCATGTTGGCTCCGAGACGCCAGGCGGCTGCGGCCTTGGAGCTTACAACTCGACCCCTCTTTCACACTTCCACTTTAGTCCAAACCTGGCAGAGCTTTCCTAAGCCTTACGCCCGCGGACGCAGGACATGAAGGGCGCACACGAACATGATTGGATGTCTTTGTTTCCGTGCCGTACCCCACATTGCTCACGAATCGTTTTATTAACCTTCGATCTCTGGTTTACGTGTGCGTGCCCACCCGCTTGGCTCTCTGGAAGCTGGTTCCATTGCTGAGATCGTCGGATGTCCCGTTCCTCGTAGGAAAAGTTGCCTTTCACCACATAGTGCTTGGCAGGCTCACATGGAAGTCGATCTAACAGATGCGCCTCCCTTCCTCCCTGCCGCAAGTTGCAAAGAAAGATGAAGAAAAATATCCCATGGAGTTCGTACTTTTCACGATCTGTTCTCCTAGAACGGATCGGAGACAGGAAATGACGAGCGCTCCTGCTCCCCGCAGAGTCATCACATCTATGAATCAGCTTACGGCGACAGGTACAGTTCACGTCCGATAGTATGGGGATAATGCAGGAGTCACAGCTTATCTTCATTCATTAAAGTGTCGACTTCGAAATTCCCTTGTTCGGCAGCTCGGCGTATAGTCGTGAGTCATCGACCATGCTTTCGACTGTCAGAGTTCTTTGCTATCAGAGATGGCCGTGATTACCGATGCACGTTTGAGTCAATATACACAGCTAATGGAGGCGGTTTTATCTTATCTGGCACGTGCTCACCTCATGCGTGTCGAAGCAAGGCACTAAGACTCCAGTATTCAGGTATGCTTCGATTGAGACCCTTAATGACTGCTAATGTTTCGATCTAGAATGACGAGGAATGCTTCGTTGCTTTAGCCCACCTTCATCTCTGCATATTGGTACTCGATAATGCTCAAAGTTCAACCACCTGCATACTGTAAGATTTCGGCACAGGAGAAGTCTACACTTCGAGGTTCAACTCTGATGCTTCATTTGTTTTTTATCGCCACATCATGAAGATTTGTCGAGGATACTGAGTGTAGGTTTCCTTACAGTTTTACAGTTCTCCAGATCCATCTATTCTACCAGTGAGAGACGAAGCCCACTTATGCCTGTACTGCCCAGCTGATGGTATAGTTTCATCTTCGTTGGTCAAATTCTCTCACATCGCATTCTTATCTCGTTGACACCCCGAAGTCTCGGACGCGCGCTCCAGGTGTGCATGCTATCCTGCCGCGATCGTGTCCTAGTACCAGCACGCCTTCGCCCAGGTGCTGTGCACAACAGTCTCAAACTCAACAGATGGATATTTCATGTGTATTGGCATAGCCCTGAATTTTCAGATTGCAGGTACACGTGGATTGACAGGCAATAGTAACCCTGAGTTTAACGATCCTTGTTTAAGAGCCTCACCAGATGCGCATGAGGACATGATAAGAAACTGGGACGTACCTTATAATGGTTCAGTGCCAATCCTACAGCCTTCTTCCTCAATTCTACAGCCCAACCGCACAGATACCGCTCGTGCATGCCGAAGGTGGGCTTATCGGTTTAGCCGTACACTCATTTAAGCCTTCAAATTAAGCTCAATCTATGTTACCGCAATGAATTCACACAGCATGGTCTTCGATTCACACCATTGAAAGGCAGTATGTACACACCGCTCGGGCTGTCAGCGCATTGATTATCAGAGGCTGACCCTAATCCAGCCGACCCGCAACATCATGACATCGTGCTAGTCTACTGTACGATCTATGACTGCTTAGCATCACCGCCATCATCTCCGCTGCGGTGCCTATGAGCCTCGTGTTCGCAATTACCGCACACCCGGACTAGGACTTCATGACAAACGCGCCGAAAACATACGATTGAGTTAGCAATGGCGCCCAATACAGCCGCTGAACGCGATGAACGCGCGACTCACCTGCCCCGCGATGTCCATGCCCGCCCACGATGACTGTCGGCGCCTCTTGCCACGCCCTTCCGTGCCCGGTTGCGTACACTGAGTTCGCAGATGGCATCTCTTTCGTGTTGCTACCGTTCGCGTGCTCGATGTTGTCGGTCAGCCTTGAGGACGAGAAGAGAGGATCCACGAAAATGCGCGGCCCATCGGTCGTACGCGTGCCTCCGTGGTCCCCATGTGCGTCTTCGTCTAAGTCCGGAGCACACCTCGCGTCGTTAGTCGAGGTTTGTATGTGCAAACGGAGTCTTGCGTCCTGGTCACGCAACCGAGTCATCCGATGTCAGCATCGCTGGTTGCAGCATTGGGAAAGAGACCACAGCTCACTTGTAATCCATTCCACGCGCACACGCATGTTGTCTTGTGCGCCGACAGCATCGCCGCCTCAACTAAGCCAACCTTAGCCTGGCAGAGCAGCTTGCGATTTTGCTCGATACATCTAGATGTTCAATTCTTAGCGTCTCCCTTCGTCAGCGAAACCTAAATGCGATTCACTTCTGAATGTTTGCCATGACGGTATTATCACCAAGATCTGAAGTGAGTTGTCCGTCATGCGTGTCCGAATAGCACGCAGCCAATATGTGCGTCGCTTCTATCAGCTCCGTAGGACATTGGGACGACATGTTCGTGCTGTGGATAATTTGAGTGCCGTTGCTCATAGGAAGGTGATAGAGAGCTTGAGTTCGCGTTTGAAAGCGACAGAGAAGTAATACCTTGTCAAAATTGGTCTTTATATCCTGGCTTTTGGACAACGAGACCTTGTTAAATCATCGATAAGTTGGTGGTCGATGCGATGAACGCGGGAGGCTGCCAGGAGAACGAGTCAAGAGGAACACTACTGACGTGGCCGTTTTCATTTCTGCCAGGATTTGACGCTGTGTTCCGTTCGCCAAGAAAAGAGCGGCGAAGGTTGGCGACCACCCAGCAACGCGCTCAGGTAAAGCAAGCGAACGAAGCGAATGATTGATGCATGATGTTTCAAAACGAGTAAACATTGCCGGACGCCTTCATGGCAATCGGCCATGATATCGAGGAAGCCAGCTGCGGTGGGCTGCGTACCACTGCTACTAAGTCAATATCATGAAGTCATCGGCCCTGAAAGAACGGGAGTGGAACGTACACCGACAATCATGGCCAGAAAGAACGTTGCTCTCCGGCACTCTCGTAGTTAATGGCATTGGATGGAGGAAAAGAGGTAGAGTGTAGCTTATCGGAGCGCAGAACCTACCTGCAGATTAGGCGCTTGTCCTCTTCTGTGACAAATCACCGAAAGGTGGACAAAGGAATTACGAAATAGCAAAAGTCGCGCGTAGCTCATAATAGCATATTTTGCATGTAAGAAAGAACATGTCGATGAGCCATAAGTCGTACATCCTCTACTCCCAGCCGCTGGTGGTAGGCTCCGCGCCCCAACCACCAGTTTGGGCAGGCTCGGCTGCCCAGTCGCTCGTGCCAGGTGCGGCATCCGCAGCCCAGTCGAGGGCACCTGAGTCACAAAACGAGGAGTTAAAACGTAATGTCCGAAGGTCATAAATGATGACATACCACCCTCGGTGGCGACAAGACCAGGGTTGATGGCGCCAGCTTGGGGTGCCGAAGACACGTCCCATTCTGCAGGGGCCTCGGGCTCTGCGGCAGTAACGGCCTTGGCCTGAGCCTCCTCCTGTTGCTGCCTCTCGACTTCCTCGGGGTCGCGGTAGAAGAACATGTCAACCATGACATTCCAGCCGTCCGAGGTACGGGGGATGGTGCCACGGAGACGGAGGACCTCACGGGCAAGGAGCCACCAGACGAGACCGATCGAGTGGCGGGTCTTGTTGTTGGTAGGGATAGCAACATCGACGAACTTGAGGGGAGCGTCGGTGTCGCAAAGGGCGATGACGGGGATGTTGACGTAGGAAGCCTCACGGATAGCCTGGTGGTCGACGCGAGGGTCGGTGACGATGATAAGGCGAGGCTCCTTGAACGAGCGCGTGATGTAGTTGGTGAAGCTACCAGGAGTGAAGCGGCCAGCAATAGCCTGGGCACCGGTGTTGGCGGCGAACTTCAGGACAGCACGTTGACCGTACGGCCGGGCAGAAATGGCAACAATGTCGTTGGGGTTCTCAACAGCGGCGATGACACGAGCGGCGAAAACGATCTTCTCCCAGGTCTTGCCAATGTTGAGGAGATGGATGCCTGTGGACGGAAAGATGAGGGTTTCCAGCGCCAGTCCAGAAATCAGGCAAACGTACCATCGATCCTCCGTTTCCAGACGTAAGGCTCCATCTGCTTATCGCAATTTTTGGTGCCGATGTGGCATTGGGCAGCAAGGAGGAGCTGGATCTCCTCTTCGGTAGCGCTGAAGCAAGCGGGAAGTTTTGACGACATGATGGGCCTGTTTAAAGAGCGAAACAATCAGCATCCATAAGACCAGAGTGCCATCCATCCCAAAACACTGCACAAGCGCCTCCTTTTCTTCCACAAGTTCGTTCTACAGCATGACGAGACACGCACCGTTGAGTATGGTGATGAGCTGCGTCGACTTGCTACGACGAGACTGGTTTCCGGGCTCCCTTCGTTGACGTCGCCGAGAGTTTGGACGATTACAGCGCACAGGCCGCACCGGCAATGGCCGGCACTTTAAACTCCGAGTTAGCGCCCGTGCCTTTTGCTGTTCCCAACCTCCGATAGTCGCTACTTGTTCCCTCAGTGATAGGCTTTCTCAAGTTACAATTCAGGTACACGTTGATGTCACTACTCAGATGCGCATGACTCGTAACTACTACTGTCAGAGTCTTCTTCATGTTCCTCCTCTATCTGGCCCTCATCAGAATCAGTCTCCAGTTCGCTCGCTCTATTTCTCGACACCGGCCCACTCGTGTCCTCTGGCTGTTTATTGTCCGCAAGAACCGTCCTGCGGAGCTCATTCGTGATTCTTCTAATCGCACTACTGACCTTCAGCCAATTTTCAGGAGTGCCGTATACGGTAGCGTGAGGAGAATTAACCAATAGAACTGCAAAAAAAGCTGCAATCCGCTTTACGTCCCGCGCGTCCACTCGCGTCCTCGGAAAGTAGAGATAGCGCAGCGCAGCCCCAGGTACCTGCGTCTCCGTGCTGCTTGCACGATCCATGTTGTCACGATAGTTGGAAATGATGTTGTCGGTGGGGCTGCTCGTGTCGATCGAGATGTAGAGGTTCATGAGCAGCGGACAGACCTCGATCAACTTGGCGAGCCCAATGAACGTTACTCTTGAAGTCACGATCCACCCTGCTTTAGCGTTTATCCCCAGTACACGCAACTGCGGCCACGCAGAGGCGAGCTCTAGCAGTTCGTCGTCTTTGATCAGTACCAGCCGCTTCCCGGAAATCATCAGCGACTCCAGTCTACTGAAGCTCATCAGAGGTTGCAAGGTGTTGAACGTGATCCCAAACTCGGCATCATACGGATCTGCTATTTCTAGGCCCCAATCGTTGAACATCTTTTCTGAGCAGTAGAAGTTTGTGAGGCTTTCAGCGCTGCAGTGGTCTGCGACTGCACTCGTGAAGTCGCCTAGCTCTGTGGGTTGTGGCTGAATGCAACTATCCACGTGAAGATCGATCAAAGAGCCACGTCCTCCCGTCGAACGAAGTAAGCCGGTGGCACCACGTAAACCCCAGCTCAAGCTCCTGAGAGTGAGCTTGTCCAGGGCAGGGAAGACCGCATTTCCCCCCGGAGCTGAAGGGGAACCCAAGTGAACATCAACGGCGGGAAAGCGTACTTCCAAGCGGTGTAGCGTCCGATGTTGGGCGAGATGCACCCAAGTAGCACCATTTATAGCGCCAACTCGGAGCGACTTCAGGTGTGTCCACGCGGGGATGACTTGGGATAGGATGTATGGGACGCGAAAACTTTCGCTTTGATGATCGCATCCGAAGTGATTCATGTTGGGACAGAGCCTGCCTAGATCTGTGAAAGCCACCTTGTATTTCAACGCTTATGCGCGCGCCCATCTCCGGACTGTACTCCCACCGCAGTTCGATGATCAAGCTTCAAGATTCAAGAATCAAGTCCAATGTCACAAGTCTGACAGGCGTGAGAAACGTGGCGAATGATGCGAGGCTTCAAAGCCTCATGCACGCGGAATGACCTCTTTGTTCAGCGATCCCCACCACAGCTGTCCTAAGTGGCACCCTGTTAGTCATTTACTGACTTTTCAGTACGCTTTCTCCAAGATCTTCGACCCATACAACACTAACATGTCTGTTCCAGGTACGCTATAGCAATGCACTCAGCGCTACTTCTTCCAGAAATCATTCATGAGATCTGTGACAGTTGCATTGATGAGGAATACGAAGAGAGCCGCAGGAGTCTAGTATCCCTGGCAGCGACATGCATATCGTTTAAGAATCCCTCCCTAGATCTACTTTGGTCGTCGGTTCCCGCCCGTGCCTTTTTCTATGTTCTTCCGGCTCGTACCCTCGAGTACGGGAACCTCGCGCTCAACATATATACTGGTCGACGAGAACTTGTACGTGGCAGATACACCTATCGAAACAGAGTCTGTATTTATACCAGCTAATCCTTACAGAACAACTTTGATCGATCTTTGGTCACCAATTCTGAATGGGATCTCTTTCATGTCTACTCAAGGCGTGTCCGCAAGTTGGAGCTGAACGATGCCTTAAAGGTTGACCTCCCCGTACTTAATATGTTGTTCCCGACCAGAGCACACGTCGAAGACGCCCTTCCGCGACTAACGCATCTTTATCTACCCGTTCCTTCAGGAACGGTATACACCTGGGATGGTGCCCCAGTCTTTTTGGTCAAAACACTGCGCTCTGTATGCCTCTTCTCTTTCTTTTCGGACGCGCCCGGCTTCATCACATCTTTGGTGGAGTCTACACCTACGTTAGCCTCGCTGACCATCTACGTGGCTGATCATGACAATTGGAAAAAACGATTTGCCACCGCATGTTCACAGACAGTGTCTCAGTTACATCACCTCGTTGAGTACGATGGGCCAGCATTTCTTCCCCAGCTCCAGCTAGGGCTCGCATCGCTCCCTTCTTTGACGCGTGTTGCCCTTGACATGGTTACCCCCTTTTCTCAGCGCATCGCACCTGCTCCAGGCAGCCTTGCATTCCCTTCCCTCTCCGAATTAAAAATCCACACGGACTCGATCGAGCATTTGGTTGGGTTCTTGGGGGGCATTAGCGACGACACGCAGGCTTTCGGGAGGTCTAAACCATTGTCCCTCACACTATCGACGTTGACATCACTTTCTACGGGCGAATTCCACAATCTATGCACCTTCATTTCTTCTTTCTCTAGGTTTCGGCTTTGTTCTTTTGATTTCTCGGCCGCCGTGCACTCAACCCCGGGAGCAGATCAGGAGGGCGAAACACTCGCTCTGAAGACAATCCAGCCCTTGTTGCGCTGTGTCTCACTCAAAGTGATTGCGCTTGATTTCGGCACCAAGTTTGTCTCGTTCGACGACGATGATATCGCAGAGATGGCAAACGCATGGCCCGACCTAGAAATCTTCAAGATCAACGAACGCACTCATTGGGGCACGACATCGCAGATAACGCTACATGGGCTGCGCTCTTTCTTACACGCCTGCCCTCGTCTTTCTGAAGTCTCCATGTGCATGCGCATCGATGACTCGGAGAGAATCCGCCCGGAGTGGCACTTGACGGAGCTCGATCGGATGGCCAAGTCACGGTACGGTCGAGCCCTTGTCAAACTGAACCTTCTTGATTCGGTCATCGATGCATCCGTCCATGTGTTCAGTGCCATTGTCCTCTCACGCCTGGCGCCGAACGTTACCGTTACTATCACCTCACCAGGTCCCCAGCACCGCATCGCAGAACTCGTCAAGGAGGCAAAACTCATGTGTTGGGAACGAGACGGTTGCATCGGTGCATGGACATGGGATGAGTTGGATGGGCGATTGAAATCCATTGGAGCTCCGTATCGCTTTAAACGGTTTGAAGTTTTAGGTAGGGCACGATGAGCCAAAGCGATCTAGGCTATGTGATGACATGGTCTCATTTTGAGGTACAGATGCATAGTGCACGGCGTTGCGTACTTATGATTTACAGGGCTTCCCTGGTTGTAGATATTTTCGCTACAGAACGCGCAGCACATGAACTCAATGTACGTTCACGATATTCCAAACTTCGATGCTCATTATATGTCGTGACGTTGAGTAGTATCCATCGAGACTGATTAAATGGTAAAGATCCGTAAGAATGCACCTATCGACGCATCCAACGCGCATCAACCACGACATAGTTCGTAACCAAAACCAAAGATCCACCTTACTCCTGAGCGCCGGACGGAATCCACACAAGGTCCTCTGCCTCGCTCGCCGTCGGCGTCCCATTCCCCTCGTCGTCGCTCATCGCAGCCGCCCACCCCGCCTCAATCCCCCTATCCAGACCGGCAATCTTTGCCCCGTGCTTCCTCAAAAACGCGATCACCTCCCTCGCCTCTCTCCACCCGACGACGACTGGCCCTTGTTCAGCCTGTACATCCTCGCTTGGCGCCACATTGGCCGCGGGAAGCTCCTCTACGAACCCACCGTACAGACGCGCGAGATGCGGGGCGGCACGCACGCGTTTGCCCGCAGGCGCGTTCTGAAGCTCGCCGAGGCACCCCGCGAGCGCCTTGGCAGCCTCGCCCCGCGCGCGAAGGACGTGCCGCATGATGCGGCGTGATGATGGCCGCCCGCGTTTGCCGACACCCTTGGCAGGCGGCTCGTCGGCGGTGTTGACGTTAAGCGTCTGCGGGACCGCGAGCGTCGAGCCGTGCTTGTTCGTGCTGTTCGGTGCGTGCACAGGCGCCGGGGCCCGAGGCGACGCCAGAGGGGATGCGATGTCGGCAGAGGGTGTGGGTGGGCGGCTGATGCGCGCTCTGTCGACCCAGGGGCTTTCTGGGGGAACGCGAGGCGTTGTGTATTGCGAAAGGCCTTCAAGGGACATTTCAAGGCGTTTCGGCGCCCAGACACCGACGAGAACGCGCCAAGCTGCGATCATACGCTTCAAGCTGAGATCAGATGTCAGGAAACTTTGGTGAGTAGAGGGAGAAAGCTTATAACTCACTGGAAGTAGTTGTCTATAACGAACGACACGTTAGCAATGGCACTCGTTTCGATCCCAGAGGCAAAGCTCACCATTAATGATCTTCGTATGATAAACCGAAAATGACCAGACCACCAGCCCCGAGACAAGCGCTCCAGTGGTCGTATACGACAGTGTCGCCCACAACACCCAAAACACTGTTGGGTAGATTGTCAGGAGCAACAGCAGTCCAAACACAACCTTGTTCTGCGCCTGTGTCTCCTCCTCGTCCTCGACGAGTCGCGCACCGAGCCGGCCCATGACGTATACGGGCGCGTGAAGGATGAGCGGGAAAAACACGAACGGTAGCCGTATTGCGATCGCGAGTGTGTCGCGCACGAGAATCGAAAGCGTGAGCAGGCGACTAGGCAAAGGTGCAGGATGCCGAGGGTCCAAATTCTTAGGGACAGGGAGCGAGGAGAGGACAGAGTTGGTGAGGTTCGTGTATTGCAGTAGGGAGTAGTACTCCAGCAGGCGCTGGCGGACGAATCGGAAATTAGGGGTTGCGTCTTCAGTAGCGAAAAGGTCGACCAGGCTGGGGAAGCATGTGAGTGAGTTAAACTTTAGGGCTGAAGACGATGCTTACGTTTGGCAAATGGAGACGTAATTGTCCATGTTGACAGTACTATCTTCTTCCCAGAGAAGATCACGAGCCATGCGAGCAGCATACAGAGTATCCCTAGAAATTGTCAGGTTAGGCGAAGAGAAATGATTGTAAATAAAAAGCATACCAATCTGGGGCGTTCACCGTCGCCTCAACTAGCTCCTTCTCAATAGCACGCGTCAATCGCTTCGCAGCTGCGCGAGACGAGCCCTCGGTTCCGGACAAAAACTGTTCCTTATATGCGTCCATCCGGATCGGACTACCGAACCTGCACCATGTAGTTAGCATCAACCAACACCTCTGCGCAAGCAAACTTCATACTCCATGACGACCTGGGGAAACCATCAGGACCAAAACTAGCTATCCAAGTCTGCTGAACACTCACACTACTCCGATACTTGGACTTGTTCGTGTACACGATAGCCGCTGGGACGATGACCACCTCGCCGGGATGCTTCACCTTGTCTGGGTTCTCCGCCGCCCACTTGGTGTACTCAAGCGCCGCATACGATGCGCCGTCCTTAACTTGCATGATCCGCGGCTCAGTGTATGACGTGCCCTCTGGGAAGAGCGCGACAGCATTGCCCTTAGCAAGCTCGGTGAAAGTGCCCTTGAACAGCACTTGTCTGTCCTTGGACTTTCGGTCGACAGGGATATTGCCAGAGCTGTAGAGCACGTAGGAGAGGACGGGATTTGCAAAGAGGGTGGCTGTGTAGATGGGGTTTGGTGAGAATGTGCAGAAGTCGGTGGGACAAGAGACGTGCCTTTGGACCAGTAGTGGAGGATACGGTGATGTGGGAAAGCCGACGCTGACTGGATGTTAGATGATGTAAGCTCGGTATGGGAGACGAACGTACAGAGGACGGCGGGATCCAGCATCATGTTGTGGTGCGTTGCCGTGCTACAGTGCCAAAGTTAGTCAGTTGTCATGTTCAAAAGGTCGCCAAAAGACGCGAAACAGCAGCTACAAGGACGCCTGTGTGGCCAACGCGCTGCATAGGGTGGTCCTCGTAGAACAAGAGACACAAACGCACATAATGATAGGTCCGTCGCTCGGCACATTCTCCCCGCCAATAACGTGCACCTCTGTGAAGAAGGACCATACCGCCCAGCTTGCAAGCCGCCGAATGACGCGGTGAAGTGCCTTGACTTCGGCCATGAGTCCTTTACGAAGAGATGAGAGAAAAAGGAGAGGAGGAAAAGGGGACGGTGGACGCGGTGAGCCGGCGAGCGTGGAGCGTGGTTGTCACGTGCTCCCTTGTCAGACCTGTGCATATCCAGTCGTCACGGCCTTTCTCGTACCAACACCTTTACTACTGTCAGACCTCCTACGGTCATTGCGAGACACGCGGCGCTCTAGTACGCTAAAGCTCAGACAATCGGCACCAGCTCATGCTAGTACGCGCCCTGTCATTGGCTCAGGGCTTAATCAGTCCCAAATCAGTCCTTGAATCTTGCTTGAATCAGCCATGTACCGCAGCCGCGGCGAGACTCGCCCCGCCGCTTTGCCAGAGCACGACGGAACGTCGGGCAATGTTTAGAAAACTAATAAAATCCATCTCTATTAATCATGGGCATGCTCAGTCGCTGAATGGTCAAATTATGTGATGCGGCCCACCTTAGGCGCGTCACATTGACGCGATGTTGGACGCTACTCGACATTTACTCTTAACCTTCTCCCAATATTCTGCGATCCTACCGCTTACCAACCCAACCGATTCACATTGGACAACGAACACCGATGAATTGGCTTTCCCTGCCAAGTACTTCATGACGGAAACCCAAAACGATAGTATCCCTGCCCTCTCAAGCCCACGGATGTTGACGTGGTTGAGATTTGGTGTAGGCCGGCACAGCGTGAGCGCAATCAATTGTATGTCTTCTTCTGCATTCATGTCATGGTATATATGCGAAGACACGCTGCCTGGTTCGATGACTCCAAGAACTGCTTCGCTGACAATGTGCGGATGTCGACCATGGTGACCTTGACGCAAATGTCAATAGCTGTGAGTTTCGGACAGGGATGGCGCAAATCCTCTAGCTCCATTAGCAACATGGGACGATCAAGATGCTTGCCCTGGAGGCCCTCTAGGAATAACCAGCCACGAGTGAGGGGCATGATGTCAGTACATTCTAGTTGCTAGTGATCGCCCATCATCACTTTGCGAAGTTGGGTAAACAACGTTAAGGGGTAGTAGACCGCGTACATAGCTGATGAGGTTCGTAGATTGGCATCTTCATTGTCGTCAGGATAATGCTGTACCAAGTGGGATTCATGGGGATCTAAGAGATAAACTTTCTCCAAGTCTTCTGCAGAGGTGGCCTTCGACAGCTTCTTGTTAAGATCATGAATAGGTGATGGATTGTACCCAGCCCATGTGCTCTGGATGGCCATGTGTCGGATGATTGGCGGTATGGACCTTTGAGGAGAATTCAACAAAAAGTACATTGTGTATTCGAAAAGTGTATAGTACGCGAAAGGAGAGGAGACGACTTTGCTGTCGGTCTGCAATCAAGGTTCAGCCTGAGTGCAAGAGAAGTATCCGAAACTTGTTATGTACTTCCGTTATTTGTCGATGGTTCCGATGATTCGCGCTAATTACATACGCGCTTTTGATTTACCTTCTGTCTTCAAGCAAAGCAAACGGACTGCAACTTTAGCTTTAAACACACTGCAAAGTATCACATTCGCCCTATAGTTGGTTACTGAAGTACTGGAACATGCTTTAACAACAACTACACATTCGCCTGTGGACAAAATATGATAGTCTCCTGGAGGTCTCTGGATTCCTCCCCATACGCAACAAAACAAGTTCCCAAAATTCTCCGTGGCCTGGGAATAACGTGTTCGCGTGCTTAAGCCGCGGTGTAAGCCGTCCCATGACAAGCGCTGCTCTCTTAACATCCTCCTCGTCCTTTGAAGACCCCTCTAGGATAACACATGTCAAGTTCACCATTGGATGCAATGAATCAAGCTGTTCAGACATCTCGAGAAGGTCCTTCATGCTGACGTTTATGTATATCTCGATGATACGGAGGTGGGTGCAGATCTGTCCGAGGGAGTGGAGGTCTGGCAGCGTAGCGTGGTACTGGAGAGCTGGCGCGCGTAGCACCTCCAAAGAGATCCAATTACGGCATAGCTTATCCAATTGAGGGAAGGTGAGGGGCCCAGCATCCCTGAGGCCGGAGAGGTTGAACGTAGTAAGGTTGGCGAAGGTCGTCAAGGGAAGGAGCGCGTTGTAAAAGGTGAGTGAGTGGGAATCGTCGCGGGAGTACATATAACCGCGCCCACAGGCCTGCAGCTCCCTCACGGCTTTTGTAGAGATGATCTCTGTCAAGGTCTTTGTCAGATCTAGTAGAGAAGTCTCTGGAAACTCGAAAGATGGGGTGGTATTGATTGTTAGCTGCCGGACTGAGGCTTTAGTTGAGCGGCCGTCAGAGCAGAGTAGGCCCTCGAGAGAGTCGGCGGCACCTTTAAAGTTACCGCTTGTAAGGCTGAGGTTGTCAATTTCTCGGAGACAGCTGATGTTAGTACCAAACCAAGGGCGCGAATATGGTGTGAACGTGTGGACCTCTAGTGTTTTCAGACTCTCCAGAGAGGTGAGGTGTTTCCACATGTGGGTATCCAAAGGAACTACACCCGTTATGGAGCGGAGATGCTTCCAGCCGCTAATGAAGCGGCATGAGACATCTAGGTTGCGGAGAGGATGACCATGGCATGAGAACGAGTCGACGGCTGGACAGAGTTCTGTGATGGATAAAGGAAGGCGAGCAATATCCGAGATTGCATTGATGGATAAACGAAGCCGGCGAAGGCATGGAGGAAGAAACATGGGCAGTATTGCAGGTGGGCATCCGTGTCCTAGCGTGAGTACCCGCAGGCTAGGAAACAGTAGGCACTGAGGAGCCGTCATGAACGCGTCAATCACGGACTGATCAAGCTGATAAGTCATCGCAGCGGCAGCGAATGGGCTTTGATGGCTATACATGTGCCACTCCTTGGGATCTACTTCATCACGACCAGTATCACGAACCCCAATGCTATGGACGTTCGCAGCACGACTTCGGAGCAGGGCCCATTCCTCCTCTGTCATCTTCCGACGAAATGACTGTGCCCCAGTGAGATAGTAATGAAGAGGGTTTCGCTCGAGAAGTGAGCGACGTACTATAGTCCACGGAGGTTGCCAGTTTCCGCAAAATGCACCTTCAGGCCTCTCCTCTTGCTTGAATTTTCTCAGGTCTTGAGGAAGACACCTGAGAATCTCGAACCAAAAGTCTAGCTCAGAGTACAGCGCATTGATTGCGGGCTCGTGGAACGCCTTGGATACTTGAGCCAGGTTCTCTAAGGCCCAGTGGTTATCTACGTGGCTCAGGACCAGTTGAATCACCTCCGAGATTTCAAGTGCGTGATGCATGGATGGTAGTTGAAAGCTCTGTAACACAGTAAACTTGAGATGGTGGGACAAGCCTCCGAAGTATAAGTAAGCGGGGCTTACGTTTAGATGTACGATGAGCAGTCGGAACCTCGGGAGTTCATGAGGTCCGTGCACAAGCGCACTCGGCGCCAATATCATTTGAAACTCAGCCGAGTGCCCTCGCTCAAGCGCTCAGTGAGCGTCCCGGCGGCGCCGGCTAAGTCACTGTCCACTACGACAGAATACGTCCCGCCCTTCGCCTTAACGAGATTGTTTACCTTATAGCCAAGAACTTACAATCAGAGGAGCCGACCTTATGCGCACTTGTCAGAACGTGCCACTCCTTCAGCGAACCCGATCTAAGCGCTCATTTTGGGAACAGATACAAACTATCTCTCCCTTAATCCTGTCTCTACCCAAGGATTTGTTTGCCACGGTTCTCCAACCAATGTGTCGCTGATGGTTACCTCCATATTGATATGGTACGCTCCGTCCTACCAAGATCCAGGTCGTGTTGATAATCATTGTAAGTACTGTCTCTTGTCACCGAGCCAGATGGTAGCACAATAACACAACGTGCATATGCCGCAGTTCGTCGCTCGCGCACGTTATAGGGAATCCGAACAATTCGGATCATATGTGAAGGTCAAGTACAGAGGAGCTGAGATGGGTCAACGCATTGCAGTCGCTGAGAGAAAGTATATGTGGCAAAGTCTCCCTAGGCGTTCGTTGCTAAGTGCCGTTGTTCACACTGCAGAGCGATTGGAAAGTATTATCTTAGTCTAGTAGGAGAGTGTCCGTGGAGAGGTCCAGTACCAGAATTTAATATTAGTATTAGTCCGGAACTGGTCGGCGAGCGTGTACCCGCGGCTTTCACATGATAAGTAAGTACTAGTGAGCTAACAATATAGCAGATGAATGAACAACACCGCATCGCCTCTACATCAGAGCTTCCAATGATACGCGAAGTGTCTCTCGCATTCATGTGGAGCAAGAACCATTGTGATGTATTTCCTGCGTGTTCCATTGTACAAGACAGCCCCCTCGTAATGGAGAAGCACCGGTAGAGTTGATTGGCTGACGACAGTGCGGAACGTGTGGGTTTGTACAAGGGAAGAATAGAGGGTTATGGTTCATCCTTGGGCCTTGGCGCTTATCTCGGCAAGGCATGGCTCCCGAAGGGGACTTACGATCGATGGACCATTACTCAGCAAAGCCATAAATTCCTGGCCCCGGGTCGTCTCCAGCGCGCAGAAAAACTGAATGATTGCGTTTGTTTAACAAGAGGGTAAGAACTTCACGGATCATAGTGTCAAAATACGGCATGCTGTCCGCTTCCTGCATGCTCTCGGTGACGAGTCACTAGTCACACCTGCTGCATGGATGATTGAGGATCGGGGGAATCTGAAGCACATGTACGCCCTGCGCTAACTTTAGCTCACAGGGCACCAATACACGACTGATATTTCAGGCCCAGGACTTATTCCCAAATGAAGAGACGAGCCAGTTTGAGGACCGAGCCAGCTGATATAGAAGACAAAGAATCATGCCAGAGATGCTAAGCAATCCCATTCAACAGTGTCGTGTTTCATATTGCGTTTGGGATAGTAAAATGGGCCGCTCAATGACGCATTTGGAGTCGTCAGCGTGTGCGTACAGCATGGGGTCATCGAGCTACGGCAGCCCAGGCCAAATAGAGCAGTAATAGTCGTGCACAGCATGAAATGACTGATAAAGTGAATGAACTGACATACTAGTATAAGCTTCAGAGTTCAAACACTTGAAACAAGCTTGCCAGGTACGCCATCCGCAACGCGTGTCAAAGAGGCAGCTCCGGACAGAGAACATGGTACATTGACGACAGCGGGTCCTCTGAGGCACCCTATAGGGGTTGGGGGAGAAGCGAACACACCGATGGACGGGGAGAAACGCCGATCAACAAGGGTGTAACGCGAATAGAACTGCGCAAAGGGAAAGACAGGACAAACCAGGCTATACGGTATCATGACCATGGTATAAATGAACACCAAGACTATGACCATGGGCGGTAAAATGAAATTGGGTGTTAAGCCGCGGTGCTTCTGGGATTACATATGTTCAATCAGAAAGTTGCGGGACTATCAGAGCCAGAAGATGGTACTGTGGAGCCATGATATTCAGGCGTGAAGAACGTAGAACATACAACCGAAGAGTCGATGAACAAGCATATCCTCCCGAGTGGGCGGGTATTCCGTTGGTAGAACATGGATATCAGTCACAGAAGCCAACGGCGAGAGCGGAATGCAACAAGACGAACCAATAGAAGGCTGCTATACGGTAGAATGAGATGGTTTCGCAAGATAATTGGGACGTAAGCCGTTGTTGATGCGAAGCTATCTCTCAACGTACCTGCTGCGTAATGACATCAAACTTGGTTCATATCGCACGGCCGCCGACGCGCTAGCGTACAATGATAAAGCTCTAGCTCTGGTATGGGCGCTCCAGGGAAGTCGCCCCAGTGGATGCTTGCACGCTAGCCTAGCATGGATATCATCACCGAAGCATGGCCATTGTGTGATTTGTGACTGCTCATTGAGATAGATTGATAGTGACCTAACTACGCCGGCGGCATAATGACTGCACTATCCAGGCTTGCTGCAATGATAGGAAGGTGGCGCCTGATAAAGTACATGAATGGGCTTCGGACGCTAGCCTTAGGTGGAGAGATGTACGTTCATTACTTACCGATCTACCTGATGCGACGGTATTCGAGGATATTCGGTCGTGTCAGACCGCCGGCGATGTTGAAGGCCATCCATATATGCTGTGGAAGAGGATGTATCGTTCGAGGGCGGTACGAGCAGCTGTCTGATATCACTAAATGATTGCCATGGATGCTCCTTGGGAAGGAGGCTAAGCTTTGCATGCCGGCGGAGGCAGCGACAAGCTGTGAGGATGATATCAAGATCCAAGGCGTGGCTGAGGCGCGTCATGTTGACGTGCCTTCCACGCCGGCCGATATCTATAAATAGAAAGTGAGCTGCCGTCGCCGTCGTGCGTCTCACGTGTCGCTGTCGTGTCGCTCCTCCACGAACGCTCCTCCTGCTCACCCAAAACTCGCTCAGCGCGACACGCCCTCCGACTCCTCGCACTACCTCCAGCCTCTAGACGTTCCAGGACGAGCAAACGTAGTCTGAGTCACTATGCACAGCATTTACGCACGCATCAACGGCCTCACTGCGCTCCTGTCGACATGTGTGATGGTCCTCCTAGGCACCATCGCGCTCTCCTCTCTCATCTACACTGCCGACCCCAAGGGCGAACTTTCTATCAACTCAATACGAGTGTAAGTCACTCAATGGCTTGATGCGAGTGTGGGGTGGTGCTCTGACGCTCAACGACGACAGCCACCCTGGCAAGGAGCGGCGGTATCCTCGGCGGACTCGCGAGTTCGCGTTCGTCAACTTCAATGTAACTGCAGGCACGTCCATTCGTCTTTTTGTCCTGGATACATTGATTAAAATCGATTCTGTGATGTCCTTGCGCTCATCGGTCTTTCTTTCCCCGGTCACGCATATAGACTTGACACCCCTCTTCAACTGGAACACAAAACAACTTTTCCTTTACCTGGAGGCGGAGTACGAGAACGTCAAAGGAGTGCGTGTCATCTCAGTCACCGGTATAATCCATACCCTTTCTGGTCTGGGCTTGTTCTTTGTTACTGCCCTCCCAGTGCGCGGTCTACTCCTCGGGCGCAGTTCATATCCCCACTTCTCTCTACATTCTTTGCCCTTGCTCGCCATTCATCTCGCATTGGGCTTCATTGTGAACCGAGATAAACTGACCACTGCATTTCAGGTGAAGAATGATGTGGTCATCTGGGACCGTATCGTGCGCCGGAAAGAAGACGCAGTGATTAACGTGCAAGGAAAGAACAAATACAAGTTCAAGGACCTGGCCAAATCGTTCAAGTGCGCATTCATGTCAACCCTTATTCGTCGATTCTTTTTTTGTCTCTGCCCTTCATGTCACGTTCCGATGCTTCCGCTTGCTCCGCCGACACTATCATTTCCTGTGTTCATATGCTTTCCTCCCTTCGCACATCGTACATTGTCAAGTGAATCTCTTTTTGGAAACTCACGCCCTCTCAACTATATCGTATTTCATCCATTTTTCATATCTGCCCCCATTCTGCGAGCTAAGCCCTGTATGCTCGGATGCTCTCATCAGACGTCTACGCGCTTGCATTATCGAGTCAATTGTTACCGTCGAGGAAGCTCGCTTGCCTTATCCGCCTCCTCACCATCGGCTCTTGCTTCCTTTTATTGCTTTAAGCGTTTACCTTTCCATCCTTCCCCAGCCAGTTCACTTTTACATCTCCCCTTTTCTGTCCATCTCGGACCTTTCGCTGACTCTTTCGCCCCCACTTTGACCATCGATGATCGATCTGACTGATGCGCGTTACCTGCTCTTTTGTTTAGGGATGTCCCACCGGCGCATTACTCGCTGAAGTACAATGTCATGCCCTACGTCGGCGTGCTCACCTATGGCGAGGCCGCCCGTACGACCGAGGCGATCGAGTTCCCCGAGGCGCAGGACACTATGTAGAGAGCCACTCAGTGGTCGATGGCCGATGTCGTACGTACAGTATGTCCTTGCTAATCGGGAACAAGTGTAACCACTATCTCGGGAGCCTCTTCCATGTCGGGGATTATCGCAAGTCCTAAATAACAACGTGAGTTACGTGACACGCGCACGTCAGTGTCTTTGATCACATTTCCTTTGGATGTATGTGCCATGCCCGGATCACCAGAGATTTATGAGTGCGGTGAGGCTGTCCATGGCAAAATCGGATTGATACAGGATCATCGCCCGATCTGCGTCTGACACTCGTTCAGCGCTCTCTGCCCGATAACACGGATCTCCTGCGCAAAGCTTCTTTGCTCATTCTGCTTTTTCGGGGTACATGTAGGCGTTCATTTCGTCCGCATTTAAATCGTACCGTGCGTTCGCAAGCACCGGGATCTCGGCATATGCGCCGGGACTTAGATTTGTCCAATCCTCACATCGTGACAGGTCCCAACGCCCATCGGGGCTGGCGTCTGTGAGCGTCGACGCGGAGGCCCGCGGACTTGGGGATATCATGCGGCGCTCTAACGCTGAGGGTTTGATAGCGTTGAGCCCTGTGCCGTGGCTCCGGTTTCGGCGTCCGACAATGGTTTCAATTGTGTCGCTGTGCCGTCTTTATTCTCATTAGTGCATCTCCATCATTTGTCGCAGACGACGTCGGGTCGTGTCGTCGGCACGAACTTTTGCATGGCAGGCGTGCTTCGTTCATGATGCTGTTTCAATCATCGGAATTCGAACAACGCAATGGTGCGCAGTCCACCCTCGTACTCGCTTAAATCATAGAGGGCTTGAGGACATGTGATATGGCATTTCGGGCCGTCATTGGAAGGTTTGAGCCTTCGAAGAAGCAGCGTCAAGTCACCGAGGCTAATCTTGCGGGGCACGGCAAGGCAAGGGAACATGACGACTCTTCTAAGGCGTCGTCATATGGCATCATGGGCATTAAGAGCATCATAGGCATGACACTCACGGCATCAACAAGAGGAGGACATCATCGGTCAGAAGCATGGCCACCAGCGTCGACGTGGACGATCGTCGATTCCTTTATACGACCTCTTCGCGTGCTGCTGCGTGCCTATGCCTGGGAAAGTGATCCCGCATGAAACGGACTGGACTGCCCTGTGACGCTGCAAGGACTGGTCTCCCGTCCAATGCCTTGACTGACGTTTCGAGACTGTGAACCGTTCCTTGCCCCCGAACACTACCATCCTGATGCTCGTTGCGGAAGGTCGACGCTAACTCGAACAATCCTCTTCATTCGACGCTGAACTTTCGACGGATATATTACCCCACATCTTCCATTTCTCCCCCACTGGCAGTACAGCACATCATAGGGTGCCATCCATACTAGATTAATTACGTCTTCGTCCAACCATACATCGCGCGCGCGCAAACCTAACACTAATTATGCTCTGGATAAGCTTTCGAGCCCATTCGGCGTCTTCGTTTATTTTCCCATGCTTCAAAGCCATGCCCATTGCCCAAGTGCGCACATGACCGCGCTCAGCCATCACTAACATCCAGCACGCCCGCACTTCCTCAGCCTGTTTTTACCCATGGCTTGTGCGGTGGACATATAGGGGCATGTACGTTGCTTACTTGCGATGGACCGGTTGAGCTGGTTTGATTTTGAGGGTGCAGGGAGGAGTGTAGAATATCTGGTGAAGCACTGGTGTAACCGCGATGGTTTCGCTAGAGGTTTACGCTTTTTAGCTCGCAAGGATAGTTTAATTAGGCGCCGGTAGTCCCTGCACGCAGCTCTATGGATAGGGTATGCACATTGCGTAGGCCATGAGCTAATTTTGCGTACTGCAAGAAGTTGTGGCGCTTGTCGGTTGCTTTTCGCAAGGCAGGCCCGGTCAGATGCTCACGAGGCAACGAGGCGGAGACGGTACGAGCCCGGAACAGGCGTCGCTGACTGCCCAGTGATCCTTTACCGCGCCTGATCGTTACCGAAAGGTGGGTATGTCCGCATGGAAACCTTGCGAATTGGTGCTAGGGCCAGCAGTCTGCGTAAATGGATGCGGGAAGTTCCGAGCTCAACGATGGCGACCGCGATGGTGGTGCTACAACATACGATCACTTGGATGTATTAGTGTTCAGATGTATGTGGCGCAAGGTCTGATAAAAGATAGATGAAGCTGTCGTTACTCACCTTGAGGCAACGACTTGGACCACGGATCCACGTCCCCGGACTTTTTTTACCGCCGATGCACGATCGATGTCTGTGGGGCTCCAGGATGGGCTTGAGTACTCGGTCTGTGTTATGCATATGGGCGTGAGTGGATTTCTCGGAACATGCGGTGCGGAACTGTCACGTCGTACCAAGCTCAAGGGGCAACTTAGGAGTTCTCTGCGGCGGGTGCTGCAGCCTTGCAGAGACGACCCGGGTCACGGCGGTGTGTTTCTCTCAGGGCCGACGATGTGTGTGACCGAAGGTGATCCATCCTCTTGCCTGCCGGCGAAGTGAGGATTCCGAGTTGAACGTTGAGCGTTCAACTTCCAAGTGCACTCGACCCGCATCTTCGGAAGTCCCGCCTTGCTGCAAGTGCCGTGACACGGGTCATCATTTCAATGGAATAGTGTTCAATTTAGTGGCAATGAAAGTAATAAAAATGTAAGCGGTTGTCAAACCGTCGCTTACCTGTGTCGGCGTTTCGCCCACACATCCAAAGCTGCCCACAACAAACATGGTCCGGAAGCCCCTAGCGTCGCGAGGAGATTGTGCGCGGGGACGGATTGGCGTCTTTTTTTCCATTTGACCTTCTTCGTCTTGCTCAGCGCGTGCGCCGCGCGCTCCCTCCTCACCTGTCCTCTCCCCTGCTTCGCGTTGCGCGCATGCGTGCCCAACTACCGCTGGACAAGAAACAACGATTAATAGTGCTCGAAAGCGAGATGGAGATGCACCAACCCTTCGGCATGTCAAGGCACTCGGCAATGATTTGGCTTCACCTGTCAAGCTGTCAAAAATACCCCAGTGTCGGCTCACGAATGCTTCCGCGGAAGCATTTTTTTCTGTTCTCTTACTTCTCGCTTTTTCCTCCCCTCTTCTCGATAATACCATCCATCACGCGTCACACATGTTGATGAAAGTTCGATTCTTTCGCGTCTGCCTCCTTCATGTCGCGCTTCCCTGCCAGTGCCCCACGTCGACCCTTGCCGACGTGCACAGCGCGGTTTTTCGAGACCCGCGACCTATCAGCCACAGCTCAGATATCGCTCAGCAGCCCGCCTCAAACTCCGCGCAGCCTGTGTAGGCGTCGGCGACACGTCTGCGGGCGCAAGACGGTTGACTGTGACCTGTTGCCTGTTCCTCGAGCTCGGCGTACCCGCCCGGTCGTTCCGGGCGAAAGGGCCTGTCCAAAACCCCTCAGATCGCACATTACGCCAGCACCGACAGCACACAAAAGAAACGCTAGAAGTGCCAGTTGGCAGTGATGGAGCATGTCTGCGCCGTCCAACCCTTCAGCGTACGAGCGCGCTTTCCTCAATGCGGAAGGGCGTCTGTAAATCGTTCTTGAGCTCCACGTCATACAAGGTGGTGGCCAGAGGGCCCTGGAATTCTTCTAGGGTCTTCTTGAGGCAAGTTGAGGCGTCATCGATGCCTGGCGAGGCGAGCCGTCCCTCATATCACCATCATCGTATCATCATCATCATGGCTGAATATGGCGGCCGAGACCAGTACGTACCACTGCCCCGGTACCTGTTGCCTGGACGGGGGCTTATCCTTCATCCTGGCACCCCGATTGCCCATCCCGATTGCCCAGCCCCTCATCATCGATTCATCACTCATGCACTCATGATTTGCTTCCGCTTTTTCTCTTTGTCTTGTTCGCTTTTGTACTAATGGTCTTTTCATCAACTGTTGCTGTACGTTCTGCAGCCTTGGGTGACAGGATGATCAGGACCAGCAGGACTGTGCAGACGCAGCGCCGGAATGCCCGCTGCGAGCCACGAAGACCCACAATTCAAACATGGACTTCTTGGTCGGCAAACCTCCGGGACCCCGGTCCGTGCGCCCTCTTTTTTTCCCGCCCTCCCGCAGGCGCTGCGGGTTCTTCCCAGCTGAAAGGTATCAGGTGCGTTTGTCGACATCGTCGTGCCATCACACTCGACTGTGCTGTAGATTCGTCACTAACCCGAATAGGCGATGTGAACGCTTCGAGGGGGCGCTTCAAATCACCCTAAAACTAAGAGAAAAAGGCAACTGCGTGATCTCATATGTGTCTGTTGTCTACTCTCTTAGGTACTTACAACACACTCTATTCACGTTTACTTTAACCATATCTTATATGAGCTGATCCCATGTCCGAGATCGGGCTGATGTGGGGCGATATAGTTTGTGAAAAGTGGAAATAAAGACAAGAAGATCCCGGGTGACTTATCGATGTCGTAAGGTAGGCAAGACGACTGACATTGGAAAGAGGGCGCCGGTGGCGTTCTGCTGTGGCTCAGGTTCGACGACGCCGGGATCTCATGGGAATGCGTGTTTACGGCGCAGGCGTCGGGGCACGCTAGCTCACTGCACGCCACGCACCCGTGGTCCATGGCATGGTGCGCTAGAATCGGTGATGGACGAGATGTGCAATGCTGGCTCGTTCGCCAAACAATACTTGTAATTGTGTGACATGAGAAGGCGAGGGAAGCTGGGCCTTCGGGAGACATAACTGGGGTTCTGCCAGGCTAATCTGAGGTGCATATCAGAGCATATCAGTCGCGAATCGATCCATTTAAACGTATGCGTATGAACTGAATTGAGTGCGAGGCAAGCGTTCGGTTTTCGAGAAGCGCGTCGATCGTCGTTGTAAGCGACGTCTTTGCTATCGAAGAAAGCTGCTTGCCAATCAGGTGGACCCACTCCGCTTGAAGCGGGCCAGCCGTCCGGGTCTGACAGACACAGCGTGGAGCAGCAGTTGTGCGTGTGAGGACACCCTGAGATGAATGCACAGGTCCGATGGAATCGCTGTGAGGAATCTGTAACACATCCACGGTCACGGTGCGGTGGAGTGACATACAGGAGGCTGAGGAGCCTATCGGCATCGAGCGATGTGGAGAGCACATTGCGTTCTCTGGCGGCGACGACTGTGGTACGACGCTGATCGTTGTTCACGACGTCAAATGAAGGAAAGGGAGAAGCAGTTCTCTTTCTTGCCTAAATTTGTGCATCGAGATTTTGGATCCGCGAATGTTCGCAAAGAGGGCGCGAACGAAAAGAAGATATTGTATGGTGTATCCCCATCGAGAGAACGACGATCAGCATTGAGGAACGTAGAGCGGGGGGCAACCGGAAGCAGCAGTCCCTAGCGATGCAGCGTGCGATTGGCCTCGTTTCTTTTTCTTGTTGGGTTTTCGTTGGAACGCCTGCTGGTTCGCGGCGGGGGCAGAAGAGGAGAAGAGAACGAGCGAGCGGGTCGGTGTGTTCGGGTAACGTGATGGGCCAGTGTGGCGGGTCGGCTGACGTGAACAACCTTTTTTGGGATTAGCTCCGCCTAGTGCTTGTCAAGTTGCCGAGTGTCACACAGTGACCTGTCCTCGCCCCTTCGTTATTTTTACCCACGGATGCGCCAAGCTGCTGGAGACGAGAGGATGAAAGAAAGGAAAAGGAAGTCGTCCTTCCTGCCCTGATTTTGAATGCCCCTTCTTGGATATATAACAGCCTGCAGAACACATACAGCCCGGCCCTCTGCTCCCGCATAATCCTCTTGTCCCATCCCCTCTGCACCTGGACAGCTCGAACATACAAGAGGAATAATATCCAAGAATAAGAATGGACACGGCCTACGACGACCACTTCCCCTTCGCCACACACCCCGATCCGTCTCCTACGCCCGGGGTAAGCCCAGCCCTTCTCTTCCCCACATCTTCTCTCTTCCTTCTTCCATCCACTGCGCCCACTCACGCCGATCAACAGAACGGTTCCTACGTCGACTCCGCTTTTTACCACCCACAGACCGGCGGCTACTACGATCCTGCTGCCGTTCAAGCCACCGTACGTCTTTTCCTCCCTCTTATCGGGCCCGCAAAAATGACTCGCCTTCGCAGGGATGTCCACAGAGTCAGGTCCTCTACGATCAAACACCGTACCTTTACTCCGACCTCGAGAGCGCCACACTCGTCCCTTGTCCAGAGACGAGCGACGGTCCCTGGGCCGACTACAGCCTCGTTCCCCACCCTGAGCCCCCACGGCCGTACCCACCCACCGAGCACTACGCTCCCTCTGGCCGATCGTACACGTACCCTATCACCGTTTCCTACACCCTCGCCCACGGTCTTGGCCAACCGCCGGCTAAGGCTCAAGCGACCGAATATGGTTTGATAGTCAAGCACGAGTATCAGGAACACTCCATCAAGGCTGAAGAAATGTGTACCTCCCCGGTAGGGATGGACACGGACTCATCGGAGATGTGGCGCTGGCATCATCCTGGACAGCAGGTGTGTGCTCATTTTTGCGTTTCACTTCCTATCACTGCGTTAGCCCGTTTGTGGTACACCCATTCCTGTTTTTATTCTGTTATCTCCGCCAGCATCGCAAGAGAGGACGATCGCTTACGTGTTTCATTATGTTTCCCCAGATGGATCATTATGCGTCTACCCCGAGATTCACCTACTCTACGTCAGCCCCGGCATCAGCATCAGCGCCAGCGCCTGCTTACGGCACCTTCTCTCAGAGTGTCGACAGCGGTGCCTCGGAGCCCAAGATGGCGCTCATGGATTCCCTACGTCCTCCGCCCGGCGTCGCCATATCGCACACTCAATTCCAGTCGTACTCTCCCGCCCGCGAGGCTGCCCGATCTCTCCCTCCCCTCGAGCAGCAAGGCTCTTTTTTTGGCGAACACCGCTCCCCAACCACGAGCGGTAATATTACGAGCCCTGCCCCGACACCAAGCGACGTGGGGATGACACCGACGTGGGTCGCCCCCGATCAGCCTCTGGTTGTCCCCAGCCAGGCGCATCTGGCCCCGCGTCCGACGATTCTTACGACAGCACTGGCGCCCTCTCCGTCTCCCATCTCCGAGTCGCCCGATACCCCAAGCTTGATCGGTTCCCCAATTTCGCCCATGTCTCCAACGACGTCCGCAGGAGCATCGTCATCATCCTCCCTTCCCCACTCGCACTCACACTCGCATTCGCATTCTCGCGTCCACCGCCGGCGGGCGTCGACTCCCAACACCCACGCCCATGTCAAGCACCGCTCGCGGTCACGCTCGAACTCCCCCAAGGTGCGGCTGAGCCCGAACCCCTCCGCGCGCAAGCTCGCGGAAAAGAAGCCCGCACTCGCCTGCCTCTTCTGTCGAGGCCGCAAGATCGCATGCGGCCCGCCGCTGCCCGGTAGCAACGACAAGACGTGCAAGTGAGTACATTTCTCAGTTCATCTGACTTCGATTTGTTCGTTCCATCTTTTTCGTCCCTGTGTTTTTCCCCTGAACTGTGGCACTATAACGTCCAGTCTTTTGTGACCTGTTTGCGACGTGTCTGGGGCTGTCATGGCTCGCTGGCTGTTGAGGTCATTCGACTGCAGCATTTGACATACTACATTGATTCTATTCACTATCATTCTATTCATCCTCCTGTCTGTTCGCCCGGACGTCGGGCATTTTTTTCTCTGCACCTTTTCGCATTTTTTTTTACTTTCTCCATTTCCCTGTGCGATGTGCTGTGGGGTTCCGCGACCCTGCACGCACGCACACATTTGCACGCACAGCATTGCGTCGTGACGTGTCAGCCGGCCCGGAGGCGTGCCTGGTGTGCGGGATTGCTTCCGCTCCACGGCTTACGTTTAGGGTTAGACTGGCCAACGGGCGCTTGTGGACACTTGTGTATTTCTCTTGCATCTTCCTTTCCCTTTTCTTATCACGGAGAAGCTTCAGAGGGCTTCCGTGAAACTTAGGCCTCTTTTGCTGCTTCCGGTATTTTGGCTCCCGTTTGATTATTCATCCCTGTTTCTTTTTCCCCCGTCGAACTTTATAGTTTCTGCGTGGTCACAGCTTGCCAAAGTCGGACCGGGGGCTCATTCTTTCTTTGTTACTTTTCCTCCCCTTCCTTTACCGAGCTTTACACGCTCACGAGCGCTTGTCTTGTTCACGAGAGCCCGATCGCTGACTGATCGATTTCCCCTAACTTTCTCCAGCCAATGCGCACGACGTCACCTCAAGTGCGAGTACCCTGTCGAGTCCCGCCGCGGGATGCGCAAGCGCAAGACGACGTTCTCGCCTCCCGCGCTCTCGTCTACGACTGCTACGACGGCGGCGTCCAGTACTGCCTCGGACCCGCAAAGGACTCAGCCGCAGCCACAGGTACTCGCTCCGACCCAGTCCGTCCTCGATCTCGGGACGAGACCTGGCCACGGCGCCGATATGGACATGGACCTTGGATCCCCCTGATGCTGGGAAGAGTCAGCCGTAACTGGGCGCTTCGATGATCGCTCAATGCGCCGAACGCGTCCCTCGAACATACTAGGAGCCTATTCCGGTTCCCACGGGCGTGCATCTGGCGCTTCACTTATCCGCCGGCGCACGCTCTAAACGCAGGCACCGTGAGCGACGAACGACGGGCTCTTGAAGGTCGCTGCCGTCTCACTCCATCCCGATCATCGCATCTCTATTCCGCTATATCGCTTTCGGTTCTCTCTCGCGTTCTTCGATCTATTCAGTTCGTCTTTAGTACCCTCTCTCACCTTCCAAACTATCTCGGTCTCGGTCTCGCTCCTCGCTATATTGCTTTCGCAGTGCTGTGCGCTTTTCCCCCACTCATAACTCACATCTGTACACTCCACGTTCCCTTGTTCTTGCTCCTTATCGGCCCTATCCCATCGCCTCACCTGACCGTCGCGCCCAGATTCGTCGATATCGATGTCGATGTCGAGGGAGTGCTGACGCGACACGGCTCCGCGCTCGAGGGCTGATCGCCGTCTTTCGTACATATACATACCTTGGTTATATTTGTCTCCTTTGACTGTCGGGCTTGCTTGTTATAGCTGTAGCGTTAGCACGGGTTGCCTTCCCCCTCTCGTCGTTTTCCTTTTTACGCGTGTTCCCAGTGCTTTTCGGGATATCAAAGCCGAGTTTTCTTTGTTTTTGGAACATACTTAGCACCTCCGTAACATACAGATCAACAGTCAATACCTACCTCAACAGGCACGATACCTACTTAACACAACGTAAACGATGCATATGATGCATATGATAGTATATACTTGGGTTTCCCTTTTGTTCCGCTCTTGTGGTTTAAGCGCGTATGGGTAAGTACATATTAAAGTGAAGTTTCCTGTAAACAGCCATGATGGGTACAATCGATCAGTGTTCAGACCCACGAAGATATCTCGTGTTTGGGGACAAAGTACCGATGACAAGGCCGGTACACTTGAAAGGAAGATAGCACATGGTCACAAAGTGAAGGATCAATCGTAGGCGTTTGGTAACGTGGATGCACTTCTGTTCGGTAGCAAGATAGTCTTCTAAAGCCGACGGCGCAGAAGGTATCATTGAGAGGTGCTAGCCACCGGCCGACCTGTCGTGATTGCAGGGAAACGCTCCCTAGAACTTGCTACGCGGCAGAAGTATGTACTGATCACGTACGAAGGCACGTTCGGTGGTTCTGCGATGCGATCAACCATCTGCACAGGTAAGTAGTCACTAAAAGACGTCTGCATTCATCCTCGAACCAGTTCAATGCCAAGAGCTGATGCATCGTAATACCACTGGCCGGTCGGTATTTGTAGTGGATCACACAGCAGCGGACACGAAACACGTAAAATTGGAGGACGACGATGACAGCAACACAGGAAACTGTTCGGATGTTATACGTGCGTCCTCCCGGCCATAATACCACACATCATGCATCATGCACAGTCCAAGATGCGGGTCGACGGCACGGTTCACGCGTGGGTGTTGTTCCACAGCGAACGCACGACAAAGTCGGACGGCGAGGGGCTCAGGTCAGTGGAGAGTGCCTCGCGTAGGATAAATTGCACTGCGGAATAAAGGAACAGGTCAGCAATGAGACACCGTGATGCAAGTGGCGACCAAGGGTTTGGCGTAGAGTAGAACAGAAAGACAGAATAGGAGAGAGAAAGATCGCGAGAACAACGCGGGTCATGTGGAACAAACGGTGCCTGCCGGCAGGGCGGAACGCGGGGTTCCGCGCCACGACAGCCACGGCCGAAGGTAGTGCCCACAGGTGAGACACCGGCCATAGCCCGTGAGCGTGTGCTGTGCGTGACGCTGGCCACTGGCCATATGCACGCATCGGTGTAGCGCTCGGGCTTGATGCGCGATATGCCGCGGGCACACGCGGCGAGATGGAGGAGATGTGTAACGTAGAAGTGGAAAAAAGAGCGACAAGTGTTTGAACTAGAAGCTTACCCGTGCGATCGATTCCGGGAATGAGGTAGTAGCCATTCGACGGAAGACCAGTAGAGACGTCAACAAAGTGGCCGACAGTGCCGTACGGGTGGTCAAGCCACACCCACGCTGCGACACCGCCCTTGGCGGATAGTGCGAAGGTGTAATTGTCGCCTGTCGTCAACTCGATCTCTGGATCGACAAGGTTTGAGTATGCGAGTGATGTTGGAGTGAACTGTAGAGAACAATCGGAGTCAGCGCGTAGGTTTAGCAAGGTCCAATATCAAGACGAGGTCGGAGCGCCACCGCGCGCCGGACGCCACCATCCGTATGTCCGAGGACAAAATGAAAGAAAGACATAACCTACATAGTTCTCATTCGTCACCGTCGCGTTATCTACATTCGCGGTCACATTCATCAGAAGGAAGACGTCGGTGGCGTTGTATCCCGACGGAAGAATCGTTGTCAGCCCAGATCCCTCGTATACCAACGAGTTATTCAGCGCTGGGATCTCCACCGGCGTTGCTGTCGAGCTGAGTACATTGCCAGACCAGTCATACCACGTTAGCTGCGCGGTGCCGCTCACCGCCTCCCAGCGGTCGCTCGTGGCAAGCACGGTGAGTGATTCGTTTCCCGGGAAGTAGAACGGATTGATTATCACCGGCGCGTACACGTTCGCCAGGCCATAATTGAGCACCTTCCATCTCCCGGAGTACTCGATCGCCGCCCACGAGACGCCTTGCCAGATATCGTTTAGCTGCCAAACCAGGCTTCCAAGGTTGTTCTCGCCGAGGCCGGCACCGCGACGGTACCACGCGATCTGCGCCCACATGTTCACGGACTGGAAGAGCTGGGTACTCCAGCACCACTGCGCGAACGTCTGGTTAGCGTCGATAGTTCCTGGCGTCGGGAACCAGAGCTCGACCGCGCTCGACATCTGGTACTGCCCCTGTGGCGCGTTTGGGTTCGGCCAGGAGAGGTTACCCGCCGGCGGGTGGTGGTCACGCGACATGACCACCGTGGAGTTGAACGCGAAGTCGTCCGGTGACTCAAGGACTTCTTCCCAGGTGTAGAACGAGGGCATAGAATGGAACCTATTGGACGTGCATCAGAAATGGTGAGATTGAAACCGCAGGTAACAGCATCGACTGGAGGCGCAACTCCGCGGTCGCTCCGAGAGGGAAAGGACCGAGCTGGAGAGAAAGCTCACCCAAACTCATTGACGTAGCTGTGTGATCGCGAGCAGTAGCGTCAGACCATAAGACAGGCGATGAAAAGGAGATGATGTACCGAGAGACTGGGTAGGTGGTGAGATCGAATGCTTGGCTTGCATTATAATTGTAACGTTCTAGCGCCCCCCAACTTAGCTGTTCATCAATCCAATCAAGCGTTCTTTGGGCTTACCAGTGTTGCCATAGATATATCCCTCAGTACCGTTCAGGAACCGCAGCACGAGTGGATCGAGGCTGAGGACACCGTGAGTGGTAGAGCAGTCGGTGTAAGGAACCTTGTTGGATGTGAGCAAACCATAACTTTCGACATTGAGATGAGCACTGAGACGCACCGAGTGTGTTTCAGAAACAACAATGTCGTGGAGATAATCTTGGAACAGAGTCACGAACTACAGCAGGCGTTTCGAACCGATCAGCGCCCACGTTGCTTCTTGACACTTTCTGCCAGAGTGCGTTTGCTCACCTCATCAAGGTAGTGCGTTCCGTTCGCGAGCGTCTCGTTCACTGATATCACCATCCCCTCGATCTCATTACCACCGGCCCATTGTGCATTGCTTGGGTGCCGGTTCACTCTCCTCACGTTCTGTCGCACTTCGGGTTCAACTGACTCCAGCAGGAAGTCGTTGATGGGGTACAGCGAATCTGAGAATATCAGCTCGGACCACGCCAGGATGCCCAGTTCGTCGCAAAGCCCGTAAAAGTCGTACAGGCCTCCATCGGTGGCAGCATCGCTCGGCTGATAGATGCCTCCGCCCCAGACACGGAGCTGCGGTAGAACGCCGGCGTCAGCGGGGCCCGGCACAGAGTTGGTGATCAACTGACCATGTTTTGCCCGCTCGCCACGGCACTCTCAAGCACCCACCGCACGTGTTCTGGGTTGATACGAGGATAGAAGGGGTCGAATGGGATGATGTTGGTGCCTTTGCTGTAGAAAGCTTGCCCATTGATCGCGAAGTGCCACTGGTCACCCGGCGTGATGCCCCGTTCTGCGACTTCCTGCGCCGAGTACGGCGTCTGTAGAATCTGGATGGTACGGAACCCCGTCGTAATGGTCTGCGAGATGGCGTCGCTCGCGGAAGTGGAGGCACCCGACGGGTAGAGCGTGATGGTCAGGTTGTATAGCTTGGGTGTCCCCAATCCCGCAGGGTACCAGCGCTCGGGAACATCGTCCGGGATGGTCCAGTTTACGCTGGAAAATGATGCTTTGCTGGTAGATGTGGCTATGGGATCAAGCTCCAGGGGCTGCGATTCTAAGTTGAGCTCAGGAATGGATAGTACGACGGTAGGTTGACTGTATGCCGACACCGATCGCAGCCCGTAGGTTACATTGACGACCCAATCCGCAGTCTGATCGGGAGTCGCCGAAGAGTTTGAACCGTACTTGTAGATATCTAATGAAAGCTCATCGACAAAGATCGCGCTGGCGTTCGATGTCGATGTCTGAGACGATGTGGCGTTTGTCGCAAGTGTGACAAGGTAGGCAGGTTTGAAGATCCCGGTGGGAACGAACGCCGGACCCTGAACTAAAATCAGCGCTGGCTCGGCGTTCATCTACCTTCCAGTACTCACCCAGTCCCACCCAAAGTCGTCATCAATTTTCCGAATCCATTCACGGACATTTGGATATTCAAACTGAGACACTGTTCAGTAAAGAAGGCGAGTCGCAAGATAAGAACTAAAGACGCACGTCGTCGACGGTGGTGACGTTAGCAGTGTTGGGGAAATACTCTGATCCAGGGAGCGTGGACACATTCTGGCCATAGTACCATGCTGACTCCAGTGCCACGGTCAAGTTGGTGTCACCTTGGGAAGGCGAACTGAGATACTCCGAGACGTCGTACACGTATCTCCGGAACTGGTTATCCACCCACGCGACAGGGTGCCCAGAGAGCGTCTAGTACCGTCAGTATGACGTCGTCTTCTGAATGGGATCACGACGACGTACGATATTAGCAATGGTGTCGATGCCGTAGAACACCAACAGTGTCGTCTGGGAAGCACTGCTGTCGTAGCTTTCGAGGAACGGGGACAGATCCGCGGTGTATGTCCAGTTATCGTTGATCACCCATCGTTCGGTATACTCTTTGATACGCGTGAGTGAGCCATCTCTTATATGCGATCAGAACATGAATGCGTACCATTTATACCAAGGAGAGGGTTCTCAATGACTCCAGCTCTATACAAGTCAAGGTGTGCCTGCGAGGGGAGCGCGCCAGGAACCACTATAGATCCGTTCTCGTTCCTGAGTGTCCATGACAAGTCCGATAGGCTGAAGATCTGCGCGGAAGCTAGCAGTGATAGCTGTAGCGCCACGAAGGGTGCAAACGACGAAAGCCGCCTCGACATCACAGACCGAGGGCGATATGATCGGAATTGCTCGTCCACCCATACTTTATACCTAAGTAATTGCGGACAAAGGTTATAAAAAGACGACTCTCAACTCTCATGATCAGAACAGCTGACCTGAACGCCAGGGGTGCAGCCAGTCATAAGCTCGCGGTCCCTTCGACGGCATAACGGGAGGAGTTCGGAGCTTCCTTACGCGCTGCTCCGTTTGCAAGGGTTCTTCTGCCTACGCTTGGAATTAGCCTACAAGTTATTGCGGGCATACGGGTATGGTTTCTGTTATGCGTACCTCGTTTACACCATACTATGCCTGTGCCCCCGATGAAACAATGCACCTGTTGTGAAACACATACAAAATATAAGCATTGTGTATGCGTCCCTTCACCAATACTTGTGTTTCACGACAGGTGCATTGTTTCATCGGGGGCACAGGCATAGTATAGCCTAAATTGTTGATGCAGAGCGACTGAATGAGATGTCAGAAGTTTTTTCACCGTGTTCTGCCAGCGGAAAGAGCCGAGGGAGGTTGCAGAAGAAACTTGCTCTTGGACTTGATAGTAGGCGGGCCCCAGATCAACTGAATGTAGGAAGATACCTGCAGGTCCTCCTGTAAAACTCATGAATGCGTCATCTCCCGGGCAGACGCAGTTCAGGCAAAGCTCGGCAGGTGACGGACTGAGGCCAAGTGTCTCGAGAGTCGGTGACACGTCCGAGGACATGCTTGTCGGAGTTAGTCGGGCTTCCTAAGTCACTGGGGCCCGGGCCGTGTCCACCCTTACCCACCGCCCTTATTTTCACCTAGATTTCGCCGAACTTCGACTTCGATCAACCTCGACCGCGCTCTCATCAGTGAGAAGCTCTGTAGCTCATTATATATATTTATATATACGTACGTTCCTTATCCCACACTTCCTGACGTCTTCCAACTGAGCCACACTGATGCCAGGTTTCTCAATCATGGGTGGCACTAGCCTACTAGGTCAATCAGCCAACTTATCATGCATTAAGATGGACGAGACATCTCAGTGACAAAGGTAAATAGATTGGTAACATTGTCCGTGAACTTTTCAAAATGGTTTAAACAATCGCGCAAGATTGTCGTCCCCGCCCTCGCCGCACAAACATTGAAAAGAGTCGTCAAGAGGCTTCAACGGAGAATGTAATTTCTGTCGGAGTAAATTGGACTTTTTTTTTCTGAAGTCGCGCCGCGCACTGTCGTGCACACTGTATACGTTGAACTTCGGACACTCAACGGATTCTGACACATTGCTCTTGACCTAAACCGACTTTATCCACCTTTTGATCCTCGTGTTCATGCCTGCGTCAACCGCCGAACAGTTTGCGAACAGTGCAAGCTGGTTGGCGGACAAGACAACGGGATATAGATGCGAATAAAGCATTACTTGTTTCATTGCCTGCTGACAAGGACGCGCATCGTGGACGATCTTCAGGCCAAAGGTCTTGCATTTACTTGCCGAGTTCTAAGCCGGACGTCCAATGTGTCTAAACCTTACCACTACGGAAATATTCACAACACCTGACGCTGAATCACAAGCACAGCCAAGTACGTCCCATCACGATGCGCTCATGCTCACTGCCCCTCAGTGCCCCACGGCGCCATTCCTCCTGGGGTAAGCAAATTTCACATTGCCCAGTGTTTGATGATACATAACTGCTCAGTCTGCGGCTATAGGCAAACACGTTGTATCAGTGCTTTATAAGCTACGTTTACGGTCTGAACCGGACACCCGGCCGTCGCTGTCTCACTGTACGGTCAACGTGGGCGTTTGTTCACTTAAGCTCTTGACCTGTGGTTTGCGATGAAGCACGGGCATTCCGTGTAAGAAGTTATGTCGGCTGATGTAGTCGCAGCCGTGCATCAGACTTCCCTTCTCTTGAAGGTGTGAACGTCTATAGAAGTATGTGCTCCGTTATGATCGCTTCTCTGTTCCACTTTACGCTGAAACTTTTCCGAAGGCATGGCTGATGACTAGAGTTGTATCGGATTTCCACAATGCTAGGAGTAGAGCTGTGCGATCCAATGCTGCTACATTTCCCATATATGCATCCCAGCGACGTGTTTTCGCCGATCTGCGTGTCTCTTTAAGTTATCCCTAAAGGGTGTGTTAGTCTTGTTATCTCTGGGCATACCACTCTTTCTGACCTCTGAAACACTCGAACTAGCTTAAATATACTCTTTCCCAACCAAGACCTGATCCTATGCATCGCTGTCTTGAGATTGCGGAGATCTTCGATCTCGTCGTCTCATATCTTGATCAGAAATCATCTCTGACAAGTCTTGCACGAGTGTCTAGATCATTCAATGAGCCTGCTATCAACGCTCTGTATGCTGACCTTGACAACTGGTTCGAATTCCTGATGTTTCTGCCTCGCGATCTATGGTCGTTCGGACGGACTGTCACCGGTAGCTGGCTACCCACTCAGATACTTGTAGGTCTTCTGCTTTCTGCCCTTGTCCTGCTCACATTCTTGGCAGTTCTTTAACAGAGATCTGACAGAAGATGAATGGCTCTTGTTCATGGCCCGCGCCGCTAAGGTCCGGACTATCGGAACACCCGTGGTTGATGAAGGCTATAGAAAACTAGGAGCATGGAACACCTTCACGTACGATCCCCCTCCTAACATTATCGATGGGCAGAGACTCGTCGTGGCAGATGTCTCGGTGACCGACTCTCTCATGAAGTGCCCGCGAAGTCTTCTGTTTCCCAATCTACGAGCTCTCACCCTGGGCGACGGTTGCCCAGTCGAGATGTTGCGTAGATTTCTTCCCTCAGGTCTACGCCGACTTAACGTCAGCAACCAGACTATTCAAGACTTCTCGTCTCTTCCATTTTCTATCGCCGTCCTCTGCCCGTCAATGGATTCCTTCATTTGCAGAGACGTGTACACGCTCGGTCCGGACTCCCTGCGGTTCATCTGCGATTGGCAGCATCTTCGCACCCTTCAAGGGCCTGTTTATTTCAACCAGAAGTTATGGTCTTATCTCGCCTCGCAGTCAAATCTGAGCTCGTTAGAGATACAGACTTTCGACCTACCAGATTGGCGTATCATGCGAAACCGCGGTAGGCTCCGCACGGTTGACAACCTGAGTCTCACCAGCGGTCGGTTCCAGGACACTGCTGCAGCATTGGAGATACTATTTGGGACAGAGATTGTTCATGCTTCGGCAGCGAAACCAATTGTTCGACGACTGACTATCAACGTTCAGCCCGCTTCTCCAGAGTACGTGGCATCCAAGCCGCCTCAGAGCTCCTTGAAAGGGCTCACAAACGCGTTGCGGAAGCTTCTCTCAAATGAGGACCTGAAGGAGCTACATCTTACTCATGCTTCATTTTCCTACCATTTCGGCATCGCTCGTATCCCGCCGGGCGCGAGCTCTTTCTACGATGCACTGCTCCCGTTGACTGCGTTTTCGAATGTCAGCGTCGTCACACTTTCTGCAGCGTTGGACAACAGTCACCGGTTTAGCTACTCTCAGCTCCTGTCTCTTGTCCGGCACTGGAAATCGTTAGAAGTCCTGAGCGTTCCGTCGCTCCTTAATTCCATTTCTCTACAGGAGCTCCGGGAATTATGCCGCGTCTGTCCCCGCCTCAGAGAGGTTGACGTTCGGGTGATAATGGACAAGAATCTCGTGGACTGTATCCTTGCAGACTCGGAGGATCTTTCGCACTGCATGAACAACATTACCTGTCTGACGCTGGGACATACCTCGGAGGAGAAGGATGACATAAGGCCGACGGCGCTCGCGATCAGTCGACTCATGCCACGACTGATGCGGGTCAGCGTATTTGGAGAAGACCTGTCGAGTATGTTGTTCTGGACGTCTGTCATGAAGGAAGCGGAGAAGATGTCAAGCACTCCAAAACGATGGGCGGTCAGGGGCATAGTTCATAGGGATATGTCTCCGACACTATATGAAATAACGGACAGTAGCTGGGGCCAGCTAATGTGACTGACTTATGTATCACCTGGTAACCGCTGCATCCGCCCTTTTAATGCCTGTATTTATACGCTATAGCTCTATTTATTTACCTTGACATATGTAGCACGCGTGCGATTGAACACGTAGGGCTATGAGCAAGGAGTAGGCATCTGCAACTCCTACGTTTTCAAGTAGTTCAACGACGTGTTAAGCGCTATTGTTGATATGTCTAGTGTCATTACAAGGAATTTTGTCATTGATTAGCTTATACTGAGGTTACGTGAGGCGCTCCTATGAGTTATCGTAAAACATACAGTCAAGCTATGTTGAAGGTGGACCAGATTTTTGGTAATTCCGGTGACAATGCTGCAGAATTGCCACTCCTCGTAATTGGGAGGATAAACGCTCAATAAATTTGGCCGCATTCGAGCGAGCACCGCTGTGATTTCACCTGTATTGAGATAACGCAAAGCAAGGCTCATAAGATAAAAGTTCGGGACAATCCAGCCTCTATCAGTGCAAAATGCTTCGGGATCCTCATGCGACACGGAGATATCGGGATACAATCTAACATGCGCGGACACATGCCAAGGAACACGGCCATCTGCGGAAGCGCCAGGAGTGTGCTGACACGCAAATGTGGTTTATTCTGTTGTCTAGTGGGTGTGCACTAATTTCTCCATCATCCGATGACAATCTACTCTATGCCTGACTAACTGTTTCATCGTCACGACATCGAATCCTCATCTCATTCAAAACTGTCTTCCAGTACAGCTGCCGATCTGGATAAGTTTCCACCTCTGATAGCCTAGGCACCAAACGCGCAAACACATCCGCTACCTGCTGAACGTTGGGGCGCTCGTCTCCTCCCGGGGTTTCCAACTGCATTTTTTTAATGCACTTGTGAGGTTTATGTGTCTCCGTATTGGCTGCGAGCGCCTCGACGTGTTCCATTATGACCATTACAGGCAAGTGAAAAACCCGCAGCCTTGGCCAGACTGCGAGAAACTTCATGGCCCTGCCCAGAGAGATTGCTACGTTAGTCCTGGTCAACCAGAATGTCTCGAGCAGCGGCCAGCTACGGCCAACTGAGAGAAGGCTGAAGTCGAGCTGGACCAGGGCATATTCGATCTTGATGTGACGTAGCTGGGAGAAGACAGAAAGCGGCTCGAAGCCGGCATACCCGTTGAACGGCGGGTCTGCTATCAGCGTCTCGCCTGACCCACTGAAATGAAGGGAGGTGAGCCTGTCTGGGGCAACGTAATGAGAGAGGGGGGTGGTTACGTCGATGAGTGGAGTTATGGCATCGGCAAACAGGAGATTGGAGGCGATTGTAACCTCGGGGACAACAAGTGGAGTTAATGATCCCGAAGAGTTGGTGGCTAGCGAGCGGAGGGCTGAGGCGCAAGCATCGGGAGAATCAATGATGAATCCAAGGCTCTGCAGTGAGTGGAACGCGACGTCTACGCTCTCGGAAACCCAGGGTGTGCTGTTTGCTACCACGATGTCCAAGGAGCGCAGCCTCGGCAGAGAGGCTAGGATTATAAGTCCATCCTTGGCAAGAGAAGGACATTTGACGTGCTTCAGAAGAGGCCATCGCCGCAAGGCTTGGGCCATCGTCTCGCTAGATATCTGAACGTCGTAGATCTCATTAGAAATACCAAGGTGTTCAACCGATGGGCACAACATCGGCACGTCGATTTCTTCAAAGAGGCGAGAAGGACACCCGTCGAGGTAAAGCTGATCAACTTGAGGACAGAACAGAAACCTGAGTAGAGGTGCATCCAGTCTGTGGGTCTGGAGCAGAGTGAGACTTCGAAGTTTCGGGAATAGGATGCCCGTAGGACACTCGTTCAAGACTCTAAGCACGTCCTCGCTTGGGCTGCTTTCTTGATGTTGGAAGGAAAAACGGAGGGTCTCTACCCTTGCAGCGTAAGGTACTAGGATAGCCCAGTCTCTATCTGTCATACCTCTCCGAAAACGCTACCGAAGGAGGATAAGATTAGCGACGCATGGCTCGATCAAATGTTAACTACATACTCACCACATGCTCATCGTAAATCCAGTCTGGTTTCTGCAGAATATCTCCTGGCAAACAACTTAGGAGGTTCGAAAAGTGCTCAACGTTGGAGTAGAGATGGTCGAGAGCGACGTCCTTGAACGCAGTGCAGACTCTTGCTAATCGTGCCAGCGTCGCTTTGCCCTGTTGATCCGAGCACAACTGCGCAAAGATGTGGTATACGACCTCATAGAGGTCGAGACAACGATGCATGCCTGATTATAATGCTGCAGCAAGGAAGATGTCGATGATGATGGATACGGGAGAGGTCGAAACTTAGATGTGCTTCGGTGGCGTGATACTGGTGACACGAACCGGCCTTGTACTCGCGATTAGGGGGTTCGATACAGTCTGGTATAAAAGCGGCTGTGATCGAGTAGTCGGACGTTTGGACTGACACCTAAGTGTCCCGGACGCGTGCAGTGAGGGACGTGGTGGCGAAGACCTGAGAAACCACAGGAGAATCGGGATTGGATAAAGCTAAGAGCATTCATCCGAAAAGCGGTGTGGCACCGAAAGAGATATTGACCTGAGGGTACTCACTTTTCTAGACTATGTCGCCAGCGTCAGTGCTACCGCAAGCTACACTCCGGTTGCGTTTGACAACGTCACTGAAGTCCGACTCAGAGACGACATGGGCCGGCTTCAACCTATTACGTAAGAACCTGACACGGTTCCGGTGTCCGCTGGTGTCCGTTTACATTCCAGACGCGTCTACACGTGACTGAGATACGCCTTGGCAATTGACCTCCACCATCCCCTCCTCGTCGCTGGCTACCTCTATTCTGTCATCCCCGGCGATGATTTCCCCGTCCCGCTTACCCTCCAAATTCAGGAGAAAGTCGACTGCGACCTCCTCAGCTTCTAATCCTCTGTACATCCACGACGCGGACGCAGACTACTCGGACGTACCACCCGGTCCGCCCTCCCTATATGGCTCACTTCGGTATGGGTCGGATGAGCACTTCCTCGTCCGTGAACCTGTATCTGGCCGAAAATTATCCCCTTACGCCACCAGACCACCGTTCTCTTACGCCTCATCCTTCTTCTCGAGCGATGACAAGATGCCATCCTCGCCCTCCGCCATCTTCGCATCACCCACACGGCTGACACCGTCGTCGGAACAAAGTGTTTTGGAGGACGACGAAGACGATGAAGAGGACGGGGAGGAGTCGCTGGAAGAGTTTGCAGTGGAATGCGGTGCTCGTCGTACGCGGTTCGCCGTATCCTCGGAGCGTGGTCGGTGGGCGAGTAGTCCCATAGCCGCTCGGGTCGCACCGGCCTCAGCCTACGCTCGCGCATTATCGAGTCCTCTGAAGTGTCCAGCTCTCTCAAGACCGCAGACACCTTCCCAAGCTGACGAAGAAGACAACCAAGTAGCACATCAAATGGACGACTCTGACTCTAGGCTCATGTCTTCCCTACCTCCCTCATCCCTACCGAATACCCCAATGTCTCTAGTACCCTCCCTACTCGCGGACGATGAAGATTTGCTAGAGGATTCCGAGGAGTTGTCGGACGAGTCGCCACAGGTGCATATTTTCGTCGCTTAGCATTTTGATAGATCTTGACATTCGCCTTTTTTCTGACTCGGATCTCAACTTTCTACCGCACGACAGATCGCCCCAAATTCCTCCAACGATACCAGCGATCTTATCACCGCCAATCCAGGAATTTCGTCCGCCGAACCATGTGAAGAAGATCAGCTTCCTGATATCCAATCACGTGATACACAAGCAGTCGGCGAGTCGGACGGGATAACCGAAGACAACCGCGCTGTCGATGCTTTGATGCTCACGCGAGTACCTTCACCGACCCCGAAAGCATCATCTTCCGCCCTGCAAGAACCTCTAGCACCCTCTTCTTCTCACCACTGCAACATTACTATCGCGAAGCAGACGACAAGCACATTCGCAACACCGCCTCCTTCGCCTCTAAAACCGCTGAACATGATTACAGTGAACGACACGATACCTCACTCTATTGATTCCTTCCAAACTTCGGCCCTCTCTACTGCCGGACCATCAACCTCGACAACCTCGACGAAGGACGGGAAGGTGGGCTCGAACAACAATAGGGCGAACAGGCGAGAGGACGATGAGGACGAGCAGGAGCAGCCTGCCCGTAAACGGCTGCGGGCATCGGCTGAGAGCTCCGAGGAGAGCAGGTATGTCTCGATCTCCTTGTTTACGGCCTCGTTTGACCCTGGAGTAGCTCGTCATTGCCCCCATCCAAGGACGAGCTTGTCTCACCAAACACGTCGAAACCCATACCTTTACCCACCTCCGACTTTAAAACCGAGTGTACTCCCAGTTTGGCTCTCCCGTCGGGTGACCCAGTCGAGAACGAGGGCGACGATTCACTACCGAACCCTAGTTCGAGTAAAACCCATACTCCTCCATCATCCCCACGGCTCTCCCCTTCGCGACTCGTTACCCCAACGAAGTCAAATCCATCATCACACTTCTGCGAACCGGATCCAGACCCAGAGCTCACCGGCATGCTCGTCGAAGCGCTCGCCTCTTCAAGGGCATCCTCGATGGATCCTCAAGCCCTCTTCAAAGCTCTCTCCGCGTCTCACCCTTCGCGCTTCGGCTCGCTTGCCATCGGGCCCGCAGCCAAATCCAAAAAAGAGTGGCTCACGACAATCCGCGCCTGTCTCGACGCCGGCCACGCGCGATGTGGCATGTTCGAGAAGATTGACTCGAGCGCCGAGGTTTCGCCGCTCTCTGCGGCGCGGCACAGGAAGCGGAATGTGGCCGCGCGGGCGGCTGCTGTTGCGCGGAACGAAGCGGCGGCGGATGGGAGGTGGTTTTATGTTTCGGAGCGGGATGATGATCGGGAGAGGGCGAGTGTGGTTGGGGCGATATATGAGCCGAGGCAGAAAAGGAGCGAGACGAAGAAGTATAAGCAGTATTATTGGAAGCCGCTGGATAAGATCTCGAAGTGGGACCCGGAGGACGAGCTGTAGGTCTGTTCGCCGTCATGATTTAGGCTCTTGGTTTCCCCTGTTGGTTAAGCACGCACACTCACATATCACTCCCCCTCTTCGTTTTCGCCTCTTCATTCCTTCACGTAATGCTTGATATGTCCATGACTGCCCATGACGGTTTTTGATTCGTGTTTTGACCATGTTCATGTTCATGTGGACCTTCACGCTCACCCCATTCTACCAGCAAAATCTTCGTTCTTATATAGTACAAGTTAGTTATCATTATCAACCCTCATCTCCATTCCGACGTGTATCTTCAACGAATGCTTCGCAGGTCAATGGGCCTCCCTCACCTCTTCCTAGCCGCTGCTTGAACTACTGGACGCTGCGCTCATGCTAGCTGTCAACGCTTCGGCCGGAACGTCAATATCGATCATGGAAGTTGTTATGCTCATGGTCATCTCGCCCTTTAAGATGGGTACAGGTTAACACGGACCGTCTACGTGGGCCTACCTCGCGCAGTCTCTGAAGCGTTAGTCGTCCGTTCTGCAAGCACTTCTAATCTACTTAGTAGTGCCTAGGTGATCGATGGTCCTTCCAGTTTCTGGAAGTATTATGTCAGACATCGGCTAACAACTGATGTCGGATGGGGAAGGAAAAGAACGTGGCATCGGAGACTCTGGTTATTACACAACCTCCGAGTCGCCGCCCGAGGCTTGTGCACACCAAATTCCCGAGAGAGCAGCTTGTCTCAAGCGCACCATCACCACGCCTCCGTTCCTTCCGTCTCAACGTTTCTCACAAATGTCTCTTCCCCTAGTTCGTCTGCAAACTCTCTTGGAAACAGTTCTTTTCGCCTGGCAGGACCATGAAGTTGCCAGACGCGAGGCCGCAGACGTGGAAGACGGGACCGATCCGAACGAGGAGGTGTACGACGACGCGACGTGGAGTCTGAACGTTGTCCCCGCCATCCTGGACGCGGTCGTTCCCGAACGCCACGTGAAGTCACGCAAGCCGACGGACAACGAGAGCGTGTATGATAATCTGCTGGAGCTTTCGGTGTTCGCGGGGCATAAGGCGCGGTGGGTGGTTGCGGATGCTGTGAAGTTCTGGAGGGACACGAGAGAAGAGAGGGAGGGAGAGATGGTCGAGGATGAGGAAGATTTGTTGGATTTGCTGTGAGTGATTTCATCGATATCTCGTCGATTCAGGTCACTATATTCAACTCATTCTCGTACAGTATATTTCTGGCAGATAAAGATCGTTCTCAACTCTTCAAGTCTAAGCGGTAAACGACACTTGCTATTCTGGGGCTACTATTACATCGCATATACCATACATTTGCGAGCAAACAGGGAAGTCTCGAAGATGCGTATTCGTACAAGGTATCGCTTGCTCGTTGTTATCAGATTACAGTACACCTCAATCCACATATTCTTACAAGTCAGTCACATGTTTCTCTTTGATCAGACGGCAAAGTTATAGCAAAAATTAATTAATGCTCCGATCAATCGATTCCTCACCTTGGTTCTACGTCTAGGCGAGAAGTTCATCAAAGATTCCCGATGCCCAAGACGCACCCTGTCGCTTCTCGTGCCCCGCTACGGCATCGAGTTCAGGGCGCGTCGCTTTGAGGATTTCAAAGACGTATTTCCACCACTGCGCGGACTCTTGATCTCTCGGTACACCTCCAAATCCGTCGCTATGGAATTTCCACGCGCGTAAGTCACAGGACCTGACGTTGGCGAGGATGTGAAGGAGGGAGAGGGCTGCATCACCGGTTCGACCTCCCTTGCTCGAATTGAGCAAATCGAGAAGCTTGAGAGTGCGGGGAGCGTGACCAGCCCCAGCCGTACCGGCTCCCCCCCTGCCGTCGGGGCGAGAAGGGGTGCTTGAACCATTGATGGCGACCGCGATGTCCTCGATGCATGTCAGGGCCTCTAATACTGCCTCCAGTCCGGCAAATGTAATGCTGGAACCTGGTGCGGGCCAGCCGTGGCGAGAGCTGAGGCGTAGCACCCGGAGGCGCGGCCAAGCTTGAGCCATTGTAAGAAGCTCGCTGTCGGTCAGCGTGACCTTTCTTTCCAGATCGAGGATGACGCTCTCCGTATTCTCAAAGCAGAGTGCAGGCTGAAGGCTGGCAAACGAGAGCGAATAAGTGTCAAGAGCTGTATGGTCTACCTGCATCGGCATCATCCGGCTGAAGTACAGATTTTCGCGGAAATTAAGGGACGTCAAGGTCTCGCGGACAAAGTGCTCGGACAAGGCTTCGAAAAGGCTTGGGATGTCCGGAGAAGACGCAATATGCTGTGTGGAGATTGAGAAGCTCCGGGATGATATTTGACCGCCTATAAACCGCAGAAGCCATGTCACGTCGAGGAAACTTGTGCGTGCGTCCTCCATGGTGTCGTCATGCAGCTCGAAAGACTCGAGGGAGAAAAATTTTGTTCCTTGCAAGGGAAGAACGCGAGTGGACGTTGAGGAGCGGACGTGGGGACTCATCTGCAGAACACGGAGGGAAGGAAGCTGAGACAGATGCGCAAGGGCGGTGTCAGTGAGGGGGATGCCGACATTGAGATGTCTCAGGTGTTGCCAATGACAAAGTGCTCGCGACAAAGCACTCGTGGGTGTACTTTGCCCGTCGTAGTTCCACCATGTGAATGACTCCATCCTCGGGAACAGTGTTCCAAGGTCTGCAACTACTTCGAACGCCTCGGCACGTTTGGTGGCGAGGAGATTCTCGTCCTCAGCTTCATTACCGATGTTCATGAAAGGACCCCCTTCTAAAGATAGACTACTGAGGGAGGGGCTGGCGACTGCTCGGAGGAAGGGGTATGTGAAGACGTCAAAGTTCCTCCACTGTAGCTCTTGGAGGCGGGGAAAGAGTGGCGATGGCGTTTCTGTGGCTAGGCGTTCCATGGTGTCGAGTAGCAGCCTTGTCGCCGCATACTCATCGGCCCATAATGCTGCAGGGTTGCTGCTCTTATCTTCGTGCTTGTCATCTGGCGTATGAGTTACAACCTTGACGCGGGCCGCATATTTACAGAAGGTGATCCACTCAGTGGGAGTGATCTCGCGCGCGAGGCGGTATGTCTGAGATAATGATAATCAGCAAGGCGGCTCTTACGTATGATGAAGCGTACCATATCAATATGTGGGTGACCATTGGCGATACGCGTCCCCCAAACAATGGTTTTGCGATCTGTGGTGAACACATCCTTGGGCAGAGATAAGAATAAGGGGGTGATAGTTTGAATCTGTTCCCAAAGAGCGTCTAGAGCGGGCTCGCCGAGCGAACGACAGGTTCTGGCAAGTGAGCATAGGGTCGGCTTGTCTGATTGTGAACTCTTGGCTATAAGGCGAGTAATTTCATCGAGACATAGGGCGGAGTGCATTCTGCCGTGGTGGATACGTTCGCTGGGTCACAGTGATGGGGACGTCGAGGGCACTCGGTTGAGTTTAAATAACCTTGACGGGTGTCTCAACTTGGTCTCAGCGCACAGACCTCATGAATTCCCGAGGTCCGACGCTGAAAACAGTCAAATGGTCCATTCATTGAACCATAATACTAGTAGTTCATATGGGAGAATCCTTCATTGTTTAACCTGTGGTTCGCGAGGTCCTAGTAGGTGGGGTGAAGGTTGTTTTAGTCTCGGAGTTGTCCCAGAATTTGCTTGATGAATCGATGAATCGATGACGCGGACGTTTGATCTCGCTCGATGATCGCGGCGCTTGAAATTTTGAAATTGCATGCATGCAAGACGTTTTCGTGAAGGCACACTCCGAGCCCTACACTCTATCTTACACTCATCAAGAGAACGCAGAAAATTCGACATGTACTCCTACACAATCATCAATTCGGTTCCTCCTGCAACTGTCAGCAAGCACATTCAACTAGGAGTGTTCATTTAGTAGTTTTTCAAAAATTCCAGGATATTTGATACGCCCGGGCACATACCCTAATTTCAAGCGCGATTCTCCTTTGCGACTTGGATTCCCGGTCGCATAGCTTTTAGCGCTCCGAAGACATCCTTCCACCATTCCTTGACCATTTGTGGTACGCGCACACCTCTGAACAACGCAGGGCCCGACATGCATGCCTTCAAACTGCAGGATTCGACACTGGTGAGGATGCGCTGCAGGAATATCGCTACGTCTTTGACTTAGCCTCCCTTGCTTGAGTTGAGCAGATCGAGGAATTTGAGAGAAGAAGGAGCGCAATCAGAGCTGTTTGTGGTGTCTCCTTGCCCTACTGTGAGGTGAGGGAGAAGTATCGATCCATCAATGGCGATGGTAACGACCTCAATACATGGCAGGGCTGCCAACATCATTTTCGGCCCGGAGAAGGTCAAGAATGGGACCGGTGCGGGCCAACCATGGATGTGGTTGATGCGCAAAACTCGGAGACGTGGCCATGCCTGAGCGATGGTGAGTAGCTTATTGTTGGTAATGGTGACCTGTTGTTCAATATTCAACGTGATACTTTCCATTTCACTAAAGGATAAAGCAGGATGAAAGGTGGTAAATTCAATGGAACAGGTGGCGATACGCGCGTAAGCTTCCGAGTTTTGCGAGCGTAGCGCCAGACCACCGAAAATGGTGTTCTTCAAAGGGAAAAACCGTCATGGTCTCGGAGTCAGAGTGATTTGATATTGCTGCTACCAAGTCTAGAAGGTCTGGTGATGGGGCAACTTGAAACAACAAAGATCCTCAAGGCAACCGATTTTATGGAGGTCAGCTACCCACTTGTGTATTGTTGTGGGCGCGTATGTATTGACGACGGTGCCTATTTGAGCACAGCCGCACTAATATTAATCCTGTGTGCGTAGTCTTGTCCAGCAAAAACGCTCCCACAGTCTGTCAAGCTCCTTTTCTTTTGTCTCCCCTCCCTCGTATGGCAAACGTTGTTCTCGCCGTCGTCTAGTGGCGTCCCGTTGAGCGCATGGGTCCATGGTGTTTGCGGGTTGCTTTCGGGTACAAAAGCGAATGAGAATGTGAGGGAAGGGTATTACATCTTGCTCCCTCGCCTCCTTTAACAGCACTTTCTCTCATCACTTTTTTTTCCGAACCTCACCATCAGCCTCTGCTATGCACGACTTTCATATCCGCGACGACAAACGCCGAACCAAAGGCAGGCTTGCGCAGATCGAATGGGCCAGGGATGCCCTTAGGATCATGTACGACTATACAAACACGCGCCGCGATAAAGCCAGCGACAAGGGAATCACGTTTGCGGATGATAATTTTGACGAGGAATATGACGTGTAAGTCTACTTATTCATCGCAAAGCGCGTTCGTCACTCAACGGAGTTTTCATACGCGTAGGCTTGACCAGACCCAGAAATCATTTGAGGAAACGTTAAAAGCTGAGACAACGATGCAGTCGTTGACGAGTCTCATTTGGAACAAAGATGTCGACGTGGAACAGCACGTTGAGAAGGTAGAGGAATTTTGGGATCGCACTCAGGTATACCGACTCGCACTTTCCATCAATGGTTCCTTGCTTACTGTGGGTTGATCGTGTAGGTATCATGGGCTACTCTCGACCGCCGTCTCAGACAACCAGCCCTTCCTGCCGCATTGCAGTCAGCTGCATCTCTTCCTGCTAACGTTGGCGCTGTGGAAGGTAAGCCACACTCTATATGTATGCACCTACATGGCTTTTAACTACAGCGACTTCTTTAGCAGATCCAGGTAGCGGCACCCCACCACTTCCGGTAATATCACCTCAACCTGCCGAACAGAGGTCGCAGAGCGCACCTTTGCCTTCTCAGCCTACTCCACCGGACGCTGCTAGTGTGTCACCCACAGAGGATCCCGCCGATAGGCTTCAGAGCCCGGCTCCCAAGTCTGGTCCCTCAACTAACGGGACGTACTCTTTTTATAACTCGCATAACAGAGGAAACACGTTCCAGATCGGAGGTAGTAATAACAATGGTAGTGGTGCGTCATTCGTATCCCAGCTTGAGTTTACCTAGGTGACCGAGCGCCAATCCGTCAGTTACGCAAGTTCAGCATCACGGCGGAATGACTACTACCAACGAGAACGTCATCTCAGGGAGCGAGAGTCACCTGTCTTCCATCGAGCGACTTACTCAAGCGAGCAAGCGAGATGAGATCGCAAAGGCCGAGGCTGAGGCTGACGCAGCACGACGCAATGCCCATCAAGGTCGTCGCGGACCAGCGCCTCACCGATCGGGATACTACCCCCACGTAGTAAGCACGGGAAACAACATCAATCTACATGGCAACTCCTCCATGGAAGACCCTTCCATCCAGTCCGGCAATGGAAACACGGGCGGAAGTAGGCATTTTGACTTCTCTCCAGACAACTTCTATTGATCATCTATCTATTGTAGCCAAGATCGTTCACAACTATAACGCTCCTAGGACGATTAGGGCTGCTGCCTGATTATCGTATATACAGTACATGAGATGGAGAGCCTGTACACAAGATTCAGTTGGACTTTGGACATGTATTTAGCTAGTATCATAGCCGCCGATCTTTTCTTACTTTTTTCTGGATGTCTCTGAAGTGTTGGCTATCTCGTGTTGTTTGCATTGAATCTTGCTTACAACGAGTCTGTATCCAAATATCAATGACACAGTGTTATAAAAGTCTGTCATGCTCGAGATAAAGAGAGAAGAGTTCGTTATAGCATCTCTATCCTTAAAGAAAAGAAATTTGCGATGACTTGGTGATGAATGATGCGGTGTCACTTCTCAGCAAATCAATAGAGGTACTTATCGACTCCTTGATATGAGTGATAATGAACCGATACCCTTTGACCAGCACAAAGCTAGACACGAATGGGAGGCACATTAAGCTCCATCTCTACTGGTCGTTCCTTCCCTACAGTGTGACGCGCTGTCCTTTTCCCCATACTCGACAGCCGATACATCGCCCTGAAACGCTGCAGAAATAAGCTTCTGTTCGCCACTGTCCAACAACTTGATACCCGTGCTGAGCTCTCAGATAATGCTTCCCGAAGGAGCGAACACAAAAAGCAGATGCTTATCATAGGTCGTACAAAACGTTCCACACGCAGCCCCTAGCGACCGACATGATCCCCATCTCACCTTGGGGAGACCTTACGTACATCGTCCCGGCGACCAGAAAAGCTGTTCTACAGCCTGTCACATGAACGGAGTAACCTAACGCTCTGAGAGAGAGAGAGAGAAAATCTATATTTATATCCCGCGGAAAACGCGTTTAGGGTACGTTAAGAGGCGGCTAAGTACTACTTTGTGGTAATCTAGGCGGTGTCGTAGAATGGTACGTGATAGATAAGTAGAGTTCGTCTGCGGTGGCATAATCATCTGGTAATAGAACCCAATGGGCGTGTACGGTTGTGACGTGGTACGGTGCGGACTATATGCTTGGTAAGCTATGAACGTGCGCGAGGTGCGATATAAGGAGAAAATGGGGCGAGGGTGGTGTCCGGTGGTGGGACTCCTGGGTCGTCTGGGTGTCTATTGTGACGCTCTTGGGTCGTCGGTTTCAGTGGGGGGTGCCTCCGTCGATGACTTCTTGAAGGCGTCGGAGTCGCGTAGGAATAGGGCTAGGGCTTGGAGCCCCTCTTTGGTACCGAGGACGTCGGTGAGGGACACGTCCTCGTTCGGTTTGCAGAGGTGTCGGTGTGCGGTTGCGTAGCGGGGGCACTCGCAGATGATGTGTTGTCGGGATTGTATGGGGGCGCCGCATGGGCAGGCTGTCTGTTCGGATGGGACGAATTTCGCGTAGAAGTCGCCGGAGAAACAATGGCCTGTGCGGCATTGTATCATCCGTCCGTAGATGCTACGTTCGGTGTCCGTGAAGTGTTCCCGGGGTTTGAGGAGGGGGGGGAACCGGTTCGCGATTTTGAAGCGGCCCTCGGTGTTGTTGAGTCGGTCCGTCCATTGGCCCGTCCATGTGGCGATGGCGGTGTCTCGTGCAATGCGTTTGACGGCGGCAAACGTCGGCGTGTCCGAGTCGTTTCTCGTCGTGGCGGTCTTTGCCAGGACGTCGGCGCATTCGTTGCCCTTGATCCCCTTGTGGCCTGGGGTCCATGCGACGGTGAGTCGGCGTTCGGTGTTGGCAGTGAGGTATGATATGGCTCGTGCGCGGAAGCGCAACGCTAGGCGCTGCGATGGGCCGGGCTCCGCTGGGAAGGCCGCCTTGACCGCCGACACGTTATCTGCGAAGAGGAATATGTGAGTAATGCTGGAATCGAGTCGTGCCAAGTCGCTCGATGCCTCCATCGCTCGAAGGAGTCCGAGCATCTCAGCGTCGTAAACCTCTGCCTTGCTCCCCATCCCCTCCTCTCCGTGGAATACTTCTTCTCCTTCCACGTATCCCACCCATCCTGCGCCTGTCCTTCTCGTTCCGTGTTCTTCAAGTAGGGATCCGTCGGAGTAGGCGACAACGTTTGAGGTGTCGGAGCCGATGTCGCCGATGAGTTTTGTGTGTGCGGTGGTCGCCTCCTCCTTCGTTGTTTCTGCACCTGTGATGATCAACCGGCCGTTGAATGAGTCCGGAGTAAGAGCCCACGGTGGTAGGGCGAAGAGGTCGATGCGCTCGACGTCCGCTGGGACACGGTTCGCGAGGGCGTGGAGTCGGGTGCGTATGGTGAACGACTGCGGTCGTGGAGGTGGGAGGTCTTCGTCCGGGAGGGGTGGGAGCGGGCTCGTTGCGGTCTTGAGCTGCCAGGGGCCCGGGAGTCGGGCGTACACCGGGCTGCCGGCGGAAGCCTTCGCCAGGTGGAGGGCCGCGTTGCTCTGCGTGAGGTCAAGGAAGATCGTGACCGGTGGGATGCCGGTGTCAATCTCAAGGGCGTGGACTGGAGTGGTGCGGAATGCAGCGCATGTGAGGCGCAGGGCGCGTTGGGGCAGTCAGTCCCGGCCTATGGTCTGCAGATGAGATGGATTCGGCCTAGCTATCGCGCCAGCGGCGCTGCTCTGTACCTACGCTGACTAAGACTGACTACATTGGGATGAGCCCCTGAGTCACGTGGCTGACCCTCTTGCCCTCACTACTCCAGCGTCTCTGTACGCGTTCTAGTAGGTTGGCGTGGGTCTTCTTCCCGGTCCACCAGACTGGGCTCGCGTACGACATCACGCTGCGTACGCAGGCGATGTAGAGTTGTCGTACCCGAGCTTGGGGGAGGCCGCGGATCGTGTTGGCGAGCATGCTCAAGCCGAGCGTAATACGTTCGGCCCGAGCAGCAATCTCCTTGACGTGCGCGTTGAAGAGCAGTTTGCGGTCGAAGAAGATGCCAAGCCAGCGCATGGTGTCGCATGGCTCGATGGTGGTGGGTGTGCTGCCTTCGCCTTCGCCCTGGATGACGACGTTCGGGCGCGCTGGGTTGCGTTTGGTTGTGAAGTGCATGAGCTCCGATTTCTCAACGTCGAGGTCGAGGCCGGCCGCGTGGAGTTTGGTTTGTACAATGGCGATCTCTTGCTGGAGGGTCGCCGTGTTTGTGGCGAGGTTGGGCGACGATACGTATAACATACCGTCGTCGACGTCACATGTTGCAGGGGACGCCGATGGAGATGCTCGGTAGCACGGATGGCCAATTGCGCTGACATGCTCGGTCCAGCGGACATCCGCGGACAGCTGGAGTGGTCGCGTCCGCGGATGCTACATTATAAGTACAATTTACTACAATAATAGTAATGAGGTAATGTTAAGGCTCTGAGCAGTGGGCTATGCTGTCGGCGTCAGTGGTCACTATGGCATTCACAAGTACACTACAAATATAATAGCCAATCACGATAATGTGTTAGTAGCATGTTGGGGATTCTAATACGGTTTCGGCGTCTGCAGAATGTCGGCGTCAATGTCATGTCGGCGTCAATACCATATCGGTGTCTGTGACAGGTTCGGGTCCGCGGATGCATTTGCATTAGTAAACGGGGCTACAAATGTGATATGAGTCGGTATTGGATATGCTATCGGCATCCATTCACATAGTAGTGGACTGTGTTCATACCATGCCACTGTATTATTGACAAA